GTCATGGGGCCTGAACTCTGGGCCTGGGCACTGTCCCTCAGCTCTTCAGCTCAAGGCTAGCGCTCTACCACTTGAGTCACAGCGCCACTTCCGGCTTTTTTCTTTTTGCTTATGTGGTGCTGAGAAATCGAACCCAGGGCCTCATACATGCAAGGCAAGTGCTCTACCACTGAGCCACCTTCCCAGTCCCTGCAAGCTTTTTCTTGACCAGCCTCAAATTACAATCCTTCCAATCTGCCTCCCAAGTAGCAACAGGCGCAAGCCGCTATGCCCAGCTTGAGAGTTTGAGCTGTCCTGCCCGTGTCCGTGGCTCAAACCCCGGCTTCCCCAGAAGCCCCCCCACCCCCCAGTGCCCTCTTGCAAGAATGAAGCGGGAGCGCACCTGCAGATCTGCACCTCATAGCCCAGGTCCAGGGGGTCGTTGGGCGCCGTCCCGTTCTGGAAGTCGCTGACGTTGAAGGAGGAGAGGGTGTGGTTGACGAAGCCGTGCATGGTCCCGTTCTGGCTGTACATGTAGAGGTACACCAGGCGTGGGATGAAGTCAGATGTGAAGGAGATCACGAAGGCCTGGCGGGGAAGGATGGGCTCAGACTGTCCTGTGATTGAGCAAGGGGCACGCAGCCCCGGGTCCCTCCCCAGCCCCGAGGGAGCAGGGAATGGCAGGGTGGGGTAGGCCAGTGCTGGCTATGCTGATAGCCGTGTGGCCTGCGACTGAGCGCCTAGCCTCTCTGTGTGAACAGGCCGTGCATTAGAGCAGGAAAGTAGCCAGAGCTGTCCAGTTCTCGCCTGCCTACCTCATTCTAGCACCATTCTAGCTGTGTGAGTGTGGGGGGAGGGGACAGGGACCTACAGCCTGACAGCTTCCACGGGGGAAGTGGCTGCCCAGGGGGTCCTCTCAGGGCGGCAGGGAGCAGGTGGGTGAGGGGCTGCGCGCCAGCCGCTGTGGGTGAACCCCTGGCACAGCTGCACTGGGGGCCTGCGCTGTGTGGCCGCCCTGGCGTCCCGGCCCAGTCACCACGGCCCGGCTGCCCGCGCATGCGCCCTCAGCAGCGGTTTCAAAGCCTCAGTGGGGCTGGGGCTGGGGCCGGCAGGAGGGAAGGGCCGTGTCTGGTGGTTCTGAGGCCCCTCCGAGCATCACCCCGCGGGGCCTTGCTGGGAGGGGGAACCCCAGGCCTGAGAACGTCCACCTTGGGGAGCTGTCCCCGCCCGCGGTGCGTGTGGTGCCTGCCTGGGGGCTCAGGCCTGCTCAGGTGGAGGAGATGGGGGCCGAGGCCCCCAAGGTTTGGTGAGCCCCGGACTTGGTATTGCTCTGGAGGACGTCAGGAAGGCGTGTGGTGGTCAGGGCCCAGGGGCAGCGCTGAGCTGCGGGCCGGCAGTGCGGGGGACAGGCCGCGGGCTGGCCCTCCACAGCGCTGGGGGAGCAGGTGGGGGGCAGAGGGCTTCAGGCCTCAGCTCCTAAAGTGTCTTGAGAGAGCAGGCTGCACTGTAAAATGTAAGGAAGACAGACTGACAAGGAGGTGCTATCTCTTCCTCCTCCCGTTTGTCTCTTTCTTTGGCGGTTTCTCTCCCTCCCTCTATCTCCTCTCTCCCCCCCGCCTCTCGTGTGCCAGTACTGCGCTTCGATGTAGGAGCTGGGTGCTGCCTGCTAGCTTTTCCGCTCAAGGCTAGTGCTTTGCCCTTGAGTCATGGCTCCCCTTCTGGCTTTTTGCTGATTAACTGCAGCTAAGACCAGCACAGGTTTTTTCTGACCCATGAGCCTCAGCTCTCAGCCTCCCGAGTGGCCGGGATGACAGGCGTGAGCCACCCGTGCCTGCTTCCCCTGTCTGTTGTCTGTGGTGTTCTGAGGACTCTGGGCAGACAGGACACCGAGGTGCAGGTAGGAGGGCGGAGACAGAGCTGGCCGGAAGCTGCAGGCCCAGGCCCAAGTCCCCCTCCCCCGCCCCCGGCCAAGGGACATTTTAAAGGGTGATGCCCTGCCACCAGGGCTGCAAAGACCTGGATTGGGGAACAGGCTACCTCACCTGGCCCCTCCCCGCCCCAAGGAAGGTCCTGGACTCTCCTCTGTCCAGGCTGGACGCCCACTGCCCAGGCCGAGGTCCCAGTCACTTACATTGATGATGACAGCGAGCTTCCCGATCCCACTGAGAATGTTGTACCAGATGCCTGGGGGGGGAAGCACACACCAGAGCCCTCAGCCCGGCACCCTACCACCAAGTCCGTGGGACTCTCATCTCCAATTAACCAGCAAAAGGCTGGACTTGGAGCTGTGGCTCAAGTGGTAGGGCACCAGCCTTGAGTGAAAAAGCTAAGGGACAGCGCCCAGGCCCTGAGATCAAGTCCTAGTACTGGCACAACAATCAAAAGATAGAAACACCATCCTATGGGCCCGGAGGCCCCGTTTCTAAGAAGTGCTTAGGATCAGAGCTGGGGGCTTGGCAAGGGGCCGCCACCCGTCCACCCACGGCCCAGGGGTGCACGGCGGAGGCTCTGAGAGGCTGGGAAGCCACGCTTCCCCCAGGCTGGCGCCCTGGGCCAGGTCATCACATATAGATGTGGCCCCGCAGAGATGGGCTGCCCCCGCCCTTCCGCCATGTGGCATAGAGCTCAGGGCACCTGCACTTCGGGGCTCAGCCGCCCTTAGCCACAGCCCACGGGCTGCAGGTCATAGAGGTGCTGTGTCTCCAGGACGCTGGCCCCGAGGCCCTGCACGGATCAGAGGAGGAACACAAAAGCCCATTGAACAAAAGGTTACAGCCCCGGAATCCATAAACATGTGTGTGAAAGACGGCAGAGCAGGCAGGCAGGCAGGAAGCAGGAAGCCAGCAGCCCATCCCTAAGACTGGGAACAGGAGAGGGCCCCTGAGTTGGCTGTCCCCCAGAAGGCCCAGGGTCTCCAAGAGTTCAGAGGCCGCCAGGTGGCGCTGGTCAGCTGCAGAACACCCGTGGAGCCGTGGCGAGCACACACCTGCCGTGCCAGCCCTGCATGCAGGGCCGGGGGAGACAGGAGGGGCCCAGGGGAAAGAGCCGCGGGGTCCCTGGCCTGGCGCCCGTGGCCTCAGGTTCAACATCCCTGGGGGAGGCCCACGGCCCCTGTCTCTGGTCTCTGCCTTGGGTTCTACCTAGCTGCAGACTCCCTGTCTGGGACAGGGGCTGAAGACCCACCTGGCCTCCTCCTGAGGCCCCTCTGAGAATCCCAGGGTGAAAACGCTCAGGAAAAGCTCAAGTTCCACACAGCTCCCGAGGTGGTCTTCAGGGTGCGGGTGTCTATGTGATTCCGGGGTGTTTGGCTTCTGAGGCTCTGATCTAGCCAAGGGTCCACTTTCTATCCGGTCCATCAGCTAAGCATCATATACATACGTACATGTGTGTGTGTGTGTGTGTGTGTGTGTGTGTTTGCAATACTGAGGTTTTGAATTCAGAGCCTTGAGTTTACTAAGCAGGCGCTCTTACAGCTGAACCATGCCTCCAGTCTGGGTTTTGCTTGTCCTTTTGAGGTGGGGTCTTCTCGACAGGCATGTGCCCAGACATGATCCACTTCTGGAAATCAGGGGGAGAGGCACGCCCAGCTCTTCACTGAGGAGTCTTGTGATTTTTTTTTTCTGCCCAGGCTGGCCTTGAACTGCCTCCGAGTAGCAAAGATTCCAGGGGTGAACTACCAGGTGTCCAGCAAGAACGGCCTTTTCCATGCTTAAGAGCAAAGTGACAATTGTCTGGAAGATTCTGCTTGTGTAAGATCCATCCCAGGGGACGGCCCCCCCCAGGCCTCCCGACCCTCGCCCGATGAGCGTCAGCAGCACGTGCTTGCGGGGCCTTCTGCAGGGTCCAGCCCTGCCTGGTGCCCCAAGTCCTCCTGGCCACTTAGGGGTGTGGCTGACGGCTCACATGAGTGGGCGGAGCCTCTGCCTGGGGAGGCCCCCCACCCCGAGGGACTTGGGGATCCGCTAGCTATGAGGTTTTACAATGTTTTCAGTTTGGAGACAAGATCACGGGCGTTCCTGTGGTACCCACAGCCTGAGTTGCTCGGGCCTCCTGCCTCCCACAGCACCCCACCTCTGGGCCCCCCCTCAAAGCTGAAGGTCTCTCTCCAGGCCTCAAAGCTCAAAGGTGAGGCTGTGGGAGCAAACGGACACCATGGCCGCTCTGTGGCGGTGTTAGAACCGGACGCAGCATTCGGCCGGGCACGGTCTGAAGAAGCGGGACGTGGAGAGAAGCCGAGTGCTGGGGGTCTGCTCACCACTGGGGGCGGGGAACACCACCACCGGCCACGGGGCAGCGAGCTCAGATGGCGGGATCCGAGAGTGCCCGTGGGGAACCCCCAATGCCCAGGACTAGAGATGCCCCTAGAAGGATCACCCACAGTGGGCGAAGGCCGCCCCTGCTGGCTCTGGTGGAGGCTCGGGAGGGGTCTGCCTCCCTGCCCACCCAGGCACCCTCGGATCCTGGACGACACCATGTGCGTGAGTGCTTCTGCTGACACGTGCTCGCCGCCTTGGGAACAGTGCTCTGCCTCTGACGCCTCGATTACTTATGGCCATCCTGGGGCTTGAATTCAGGACCTGGGCGCTGTCCCTTAGCGTTTCCTCTACCACTTGAGCCACAGCTCTACTTCCAGCTTTTTGCTGGTTATTTGGAGAACGTTCCTGCCTAGGCTGGCTTTGAACTGGGATCCTCAGCTCTCAGCCTCCTGAGTAGCTAGCATTGCTGGCCTTCACATGGGCAGCGCAGCCCCTGTCCCGAGCCGTCCTCCCTGGCCCGGCCCCGGGCCCACTCACCGATGTCCTTGGCTCTGACGGCCACCGGCCTCCGCAGCTCAGTGACGAACTTCTTGGCGTCCAAGCGAATCTCGATGATGTTGTTCAGTAGTGCAAACAGCGGGGCCAGCGGAAAGGACGCTACGAACAGCGTGACGAAGCCGAACTGGATGACTGCGGGGGAGGGGAGGGAGGGGAAGGGAGAGGGAGAGAGCCGGGGCCTCAGCTGCCACGTAGGCACTGCTGCCCGTGCCCGCCCGCCCAACAACTCAAGCTCTGGGCTGGCTGGCTCTCCACTGGGGTCGGTCCACCTGCACGGACCCAGGGCCCAAGAAGGGCTCTGGGGACAGAATCATCATGGCTCTGGGCGACCTCCACACCAGAACAGAACAGAAGACAGAATCTCAGCGCGTGGACCTTATGTCATGGCAGCTCATTTCCACTACTTCTAATCTTGCGTGTGTGTGTGTGTGTGTGTGCGTGCGTGTGTGTGTGTGTGTTGAGAGTAGGGCTTGAACTCAGGGCCTAGGCATAGTTCCTCAGCTTTTTCCCTCAAGGCTAACACCCTACCAGTTGAGCCACAGCTCTACTTCCAGCTTTTTGGTGGTTAAGTGGAGATAAGTGTTACAGACTTTCCTGCCCAGGCTGGCTTCAAACTGCAACCCTCAGATCTCAGCCTCCTAAGTAGCTAGGATGACAGGTGTGAGCCGCTGGTGTCCAGCTCCTAGGTTTAAGCTTCTGCTCCAAGCCTGGCCTGCACCCCACCCCCATGCTGGGCTGGTGAGGGGCTCAGCTGGGCCTCCATCGTTCTGTACAGAGGCCTGACTCCCTCACTAGGAGGCCCCAACTGAGGCCTGGGGGGGGGTCACAGGCCACCACTCTTCAGGATGGCCTCTGGGCCTCATCCTGTTGGTTGTCCTGCCTGGCTGGCTCTGAGGCTTCGTTGGCCCCGGATGCCACACCAGGCCTGGGCTGGGCTCTGAGGAGGTCGGGAAAAGGTCCCTGGAGGAGCCGTTCTGGGTGCTCTTGCCAGTTGGTAAATAAGGAAGCCAGTGGTGTCCCCCTGTGCCCTGCCGGCTGAGTGGGGCCTTTGTGAGCCCCAGGGGGAGGGGCAGGGCACTGTGGGAGCCCTGTCCCCGGCTGTCTGACCTGGGCAGGGTGGGAAAGTTCCCAGGGCTGCGGGGTTGGGGCAGGTCACTGCTGGATGGGGGTGCTCTCTCTCACTTCCGATCGACAGCGCTGGCTTGTTGGGCACTAAGTGGGTGAGGAGGGTGGAGGGGAGGCGGGGGCCTGTGTGGGGGGGGGGGGCTTGGGACACAGAGGGAGGGACCCTGGGCCTTTCTGTCTGTCTACATCCGGGCGCCCTGCCTGGCACACTGGTGCAGGTCTCCTCGGGAGACAAAGGTGCCCGCTAGGGTGGCAGAGATGCCAGGGAGCCCAGGGGGCCCTGAGGGCTGGGTTGGGTGCTTCCATGTGTGTGGGCAGAAGCAACCTAGTCTGGGACCAGACCTCCACCAGGGAAAAACAGAACGTGGAGGTCTGATTTCCAGTCCCATCCCAGACGGCCTCTGTCTGCTTCCTGGTCCTCCCGGGTCCCCGCCGAGGGGCGCGGGCCAGGCAGCCGGGCCCGGACCCTGATGGGCGCTACCCCAGGCTGAGCCTCTGCAGCTTGCCTGCCTGTCTTGGCCCAGCGTGGTTTCTCTTCCAGGGGCAAGAGCACGGCCGCCGTATTCCAGCCCCCAGCAACCTGGGCCGGGAGGGCTGGGCGGGAGGCGCTCGCCAGCACGCAGGAAAGCATGCAGGAAAGCATGCGTGTGCGGTGCAGGGGGCAGTGTGGCTCTGCCGGCGCCCTGCAGCTGAGGCTCCTGACAGGGAGCAGAGCCGTTGCAGTCAGGGCATGCTCGGCCGGCTGCCTCATTTCAGGCCTGAGAAAGAAGCTGACCCCTGGCGGGTCAGGCTGGGCCCAAGACCCAGCAGTGTGCGTGCGTGTGTGTGTGTGTGCGTGAGTGTGTGAGTGCATGTGTGTGAGTGCATGTGTGTGAGTGCATGTGTGTGTGAGTGTGTGTGCGCGCATGTGTGAGTGCGCGTGTGCATGTGTGTGTGCACATGTGTGTTCCTGTGTGTGTGTGTGCGTGTGTGCCTGTGTGTGTGTGTGTGTGCGTGTGTTGGTCCTGGAGCTCGAACATAGGTCCTCAGTGCTCCCTTAACTGTGTTGCTCAAAACTGGCATTCTACCACGTGGGTCCAGCTCTCCTGCCAGCTTTTGGTGGTTCACGGGAGATAAGAGTCTTGTGGACTCTTAGTCCAGACCAGCTTCAAACCACAATCCTCAGCTCTCAGCCTCCTGAGTAGCTAGGATGACAGGCGTGAGCCACCGGTTTCAGCAACTTCTGCTTTTACTTTGGGGTCTTGCGCTGTTTCCTGGGCTAGTCTTACACTGTGACCCAAGGAGCTGGGATGACAGGTTTGAATTACAGTATGTGTTCTAGAAAGTGTTTTCCAAACCCTCCATAGTGTCCAGAGGGAATGGCACTCTGAGAGCCTTCTGTGTCTGCTCCTCCATTCACGGAGCATGTACTGAGCACCTGCTGTTTACTTGGGCCCGTACTGGGTGCAGAGCTGGGAGGGGGGGGCAGGCTGGCATGCTTGTACTTGAGGAGGAGTGTGCTAGCAGGGCACAGCTAGTGCAAAGGCCCAGTGGCTGGCCTGAGCTAGTGTCAGGAGTCCACTGAGGCCAGAGTAGAGGGGACAGGGTCAGCATACTTCAGGAGCTCAGCAGGCCACCCCTGGCCTTTCCCCATGTCCTGGCACAGGCGCTATACACAATTTCAGCATGGTGCCCACATACAGGATTGCAGGTGGCGAGGCTCAACCTTAGCGTCTCTACTGGGTCTTCCTGCTCCACTCTGGGGAGAGGAATACCTCGAGTGCCTCAGGGCAGGCAGGGGGAGGAGTGGGGAGCTGAGGGCAGGTAGGGGGAGGAGTGGGGAGCTGAGGGCAGGCAGGAGGGAGGAGTGGGGAGCTGAGGGCAGGCAGGAGGGAGGAGTGGGGAGCTGAGGGCAGGCAGGGGGAGGAGTGGGGAGCTGAGGGCAGGTAGGGGGGAGGAGTGGGGAGCTGAGGGCAGGCCTCCCTAAGGGCTCTGGGGTAGAAGAAGTTCCTGTCTTGGGGGCCGGCGTCACCGGGGCGTGGCTTGGGGGCCCACGAGGGAGGGCCGCGGGCATCAGCCCCCAGCAGGGGCACAGGGGTGGGTTGGGTCGCTCAGCCCTGCACTCACTCATTTCCATGTACTCGGGCGTGAGGCCGGCGAAGGGCTCCAGGTTGTAGTCTACCTCGTAGCGCTGCTGCTGCTTCTTCATGTGCTCTTCGTGGTCGGGGGCCCTCCGCCGCCGCAGCTTCAGGTAGCGGATGAACTTCTTCATCTTCCTGGAAGATACGGATGGACGGACGGAGGGATGTCAGCAAGCTCGAGGGCAGGCCTGGGTCTGGCCACATTGACCAGTTCCTTCCTCCGCCCCCACCCCACCTCTTTCTCTCTCCCCTTCCCTCCCTCCCTCTCTCCACTCTCCTCTGTCTACAGTACTGGAGTTTGAACTCAGGGCCTTGTGTTTGCCAGGCAGGGCTCTGCTGCGTGAGCCACACCTTCAGCCCTCTCTCACATCAGCCATGTTTCAGATACAGTCCTGTATTTTTGCCCAAGCCAGCCTCAGATACCCGTCCTCCTGTCTACGCCTCCCAAACCTCGGGAAGGACAGAGGTGAACCACACACCTGGTTTGTTCTTTGAGATGGAACCTAGATTTTTGTGCTGGTCGTGGGGCTTGAACTCAGGGCCTGGGTTCTATCCCTAGCTTTTTTTTGTTTGAAGCTAGTGCTCTACTTGAGCCTCAGCCCCACTTCTGGATCTAGATTTTTGTTCAGGCTGGTCCTTATTGTAATCCTCAAACTTTCTTCCTTCTCAGTATCTGGGATAACAGGGGTGATCCACCATACCCAGACACCCTTCTAATTTTCTGCTTTCAACCCCAAGTCCAGTGGCTTTCAGCAGTGAGACTGCGTTGTTCAACAGCATGCCTGGTTGTGCCCTTTCTCTGGAAGGCATGGCTGTGTTGGTGTCACAGGAGACAGAGACAGTGCAGCAAACGGCCCCTCTGCCCACGGGTGCTCTGGCCCGTCTCAGGGACACGAGAGCACCGATTTGATCTTGTTCTGTCTCCCGGGAGCCAGCTGCCCCAGCCTGTACCCCATAAACCTGGGGGCCAGCACAGGGGCGTGGGGGCTGTCAGCAGGCTTGGGGATGAGCCACTAGCCTCCCTTCTCTTCTTGTCACAATGGGGTAACTTTCCCGCCATCACTCCTCAGCGCTGCCTCCGGAGGGGGAGGCTGGATATCAGTAATGGCTGAGATCACCACAAAAGCACACCAAAGACCCCAGACCCAGCTCCCCGCTGCCCCTGGGGAAGCCGCGCCGCACTCACGGAATGCCGATCTCAAATAGGTTGTTCTGGATCAGCTGCTTGCCCAGCATGATGATGCTCAGCTGGATACAGAGCTCCATCAGACAGCCCCCAGGGGCACACTGTGGGAGGAGCAGAGCGCATCAGCCCCGCCCACAGGAGTAGGCTCCACCCACAGGAGATGGCCCCACCCCTAGTGTAAGCCCCACCCTGCATGGAGCTGGCCCTGCCTCCCACCAAGCCAGCCAGAGTTGTGGCTGATTTGTGCCCTGACTCCCTGGAACCTGGGGGTGGATGGGATCTTTTTCTGGAAAAGGGGTCTTTGCAGATGGGGTTAACTAAGAGGAGGTCCTGAAGTAGGGCAGGCCCTAGCCAATGAGCAGTGTCTTTATGAGGAAACAACACAGAAGGAAGACAGAGTAGAGGGCAGAGGCCAGGGCACTGAACAGGGTGGTGGAGGATCCAGGGCAAAGGCTGGAGGGTCAGAGAGACAGGTGTGCAAAGCCTGGCACACCTTCAGCTTGCACTTCCAGCCTCCAGACAGTGAGCAAGCACACTTTTGTCATGTCAAGCCCTGGTTTTGGGGCCCCCAGGTCTGTGGGCTGGGTGACTGGAAGCAAAGCTCAGATTGGGGTGCAGGGTGTGGAGGGGTGGGCAGTAGCGAGGCCAGGTCCCAGTGCCTCCTCCCTGTCCCGGGGCTGAGGGCACCAGGCCCACAAGGGTCCCCTGCGTGGCTGCGGAGGCCTGGAAGTGGCCTCCCTATCCAGCCCAGCCGCCCTCAGCTGGCTGTGTCGGGGGAGACACTCGACTTGCCCGAAGGAAAGGGTGCCTGGTGAGTTCCGGGGCACACCGCCTCTGAGCTGCAGAGGAACTTTTTATAGAGTTTCCGAAATGTCTGTCTTGGAGAGGCATCACGTCATCACAAAGGTGACACCTTCCATTTGTTTTATAAAGATACCTACTGGGGTCTCTGAGCATCGTGAGTGTGGCAAGGCGCCACGGGGGGAAGAAAAGGATGACAGCCAGGGTACTCTGTGGGTCTTTCGCAAGGCCCCAGCACAGGGAGAAGGCTGGGGCACCCGGACTTGCGTTCAGCCGGCTGAACTTCCAGGCTGTGCTCCAGAGCCAGATCTCCCTGGACCTGAAACCCACCCAGCCCTCTGAACCTGGCCACGGTGCTCTCGCAAGGAGACCCGCCCCCGTCTTTCCTGATGAGTGGAGTTGTTCTGTGAGCTGGAAACAAGGGCTGGCATGAGGACGCCCGGCTGGGCTGGTGGAGCCATTGGTTGTGGGACAAATACAGTGAAACAAGCCCCGGGCGTGAGTCAGCAACGGGAGGGGCTGCGGCCAGACTCACGGGCAGAAGCCAAGGGTGCCCAGCTTGTCTGAGGCCAGAGACAGACATTGCAATGGAATCAAAAGAAAGAGTAGCTCAGCTCTGGTTTCCTTCCTCGACTCATTTTAACCACAGAAATACTCAGCCTAAACAAAAAAAGAAAGGAAAGCAGCTGTCATCTCTGCCGCTGGGAACAGGCTAGGCTTCGACATATCGTGCTGTGAACACTAAGACCAGCACCCAGCAAGGCGGATAACGCAGATGACGCCTATCGAGAGAGAGAAGGCCGAGCTACACACGGGACAGCCACACGTGCAAACACATGGTGTGCGTGCACAATGCAGACATGCTAGGAGGCAGAGCCCAGGGCAGGAGGGCCCACACAGGGTTTCCATTACCTCCTCCATCCGGAAAGAGCGGAAAATGTACACGTAGTCCCCCGGGCGTCCGACAAACCTGGAAGGATGATGGTGTTTCATTAAGGATACTTCACACTCACCGCCCACCCAAGGCCCACCCAAGGGGACTGTACCAGAGGGGGGTGCCCTAAGCTTGAGCCTTCTGGAAGCATCGGCGGCCTTTCCTCCAGCTGTGTCCTGTTCAGGGACAGATCTCCCTGGCTTGCCTGCAGCCCAGTGTGGCCCTGCCTCCTGCCGGGCCGCTGCCTGGGCTCTGCATTACTGGGGCCGCTGCCTGGGCTCTGTGTGGCCGGGGCTCTCCGCTACCTGGGGTCTGTGTGGCCGGGGCTCTCCTCTACCTGGCTCCTCACATTTGGGGTTCCTGTTGCCTGGGGCCTGTCTTCTCTGGAGTCTCCCCTGTTTGGAGGCCCTGCTGTCTGGGGTCTGTCTTGCCTGGGGAGGGTGTCTCTGTTGTTCTGCTGCTTCTGCCAGAACCAGGCTCTCCCTGAACCCCACATGGCAGGAGCCTGCTGCCCACCCCAACACAGACTCTGTGGCCTTCTGCCTATGAGGACAGGCAGGGCAGGGCAAGGCATGGCCCGGGGGGGGATAATGGGGGTGGGGGGAGAAAGGGGGAGGTGTGTGGAGGAGCAGCAGGCCAGGCTGCGGTGTCCCTACCGGCCTTTGAAGAATGCCACGTAGAAGATGGGGGTGTAGGAGTTCACAAACTTCAGCAGGAAGGCCTTGAAGATCAGCCTGTCTTCGAAGCTCTTCTCTGTCTTGGGGACCTCTGGGGGAGAAAAGGGGCTGGGCTGCAGCCATGAACACCATGGGGCGCCCCCACCCCAGCTCGTGGCCGGCCGGGAATGAGCCCCGGGCAGCGCGCCGGCCCCGGCACGGGCACTCACCGATCTTGGTGAGCCAGCGGGCTATGCAGCCGTACACCTCGTCCAGCAGGATGATCACCACCAGGTTGATGATGACGGCGGTGGCCGTGACGGTGACCCGGATGTTGGACCGCACGGATGGGGAAGAGTTCATGGCCAGGGCAGCGGCCGTGGAGATCCTGTAGATGATGACCCCCAGCACAATGGCGAACGTCACGGCGATCTGCACGGGGAGAGGGGACAGGCTTGGGGGGGCCAAAGGGGCGGCACCCCTACCCTCTGCCAGCTCCTCTAGCCAGACCTCCTGTCAGAACCAGGACTGACTTCCTGGGTCCGCCCTCTGCTTTGGGGTAGGGTGGGTTCTCATCTGCCTTCTTCCTGGGACCCCGTGTGCCCACACCCCAGCGCCGTCCGGGGTGCCCCAGGGCAGGCTGGTTGTGGGAGAGATCTCTAATGTGGGGGGTTGGAGCTAGGCCAAGCCCTCACCCCGAGGAGGGCAGGCATCGCAGTGTGGGCTGCACTACAGACTGGAGACACAGTCAGGCCCCTTTCCTGCCTGCCCAGGACTCACCAGGGGCCTTCTGGCTTCTCCATGAGAGCCAGCCTGAGGCCTGGCAAACCCAACGCAGGCCAGAATTCTCCCTAGATCTCAGGCTGGTGCTTCCTGGGCTCCCTGAGAGACAGCTAGGAGCTATTGGGCAGATTTGCTCTGCCCGCTTCATCCGTCTGTCTGTCTGTCTGTCCAGGATGCTTTTCCCATGAAATAACTACATCAACAAGACCAAAGGGACCTGGCACCAGTGTGGCTCACGCCTGTCATCCTAGCTACTCAGGAGGCCGAGATCTGAGGACCGAAGTTGGCAGGCAGCCTGGGCAGGAACGTCTGTGAGACTCTTATTTCCAATTACCCAGCAAAAAAGCCAGAAGTGGAGGAGCTGTCGCTCCAGCCTTCAGACAAAAAGTTAAGGGACAGAGGTTAGGCCCTGACATACACACACACATACCCCACAAACAACCCCACAACTGGGCACCGGTGGCCCACGCCTGTCATCCGAGCTACTCAGGAGGCTGCGATCTGATGATCCTGGCTCAAAGCCAGCCTGGGCAGGAGGGTTCATGAGACTCTCATCTCCAGTTAAACACCAGAAAACTTCTGTGGCTCAAAGTGCTAGAGCACTAGCCTTGAGCCAAAAGAGCTCATGGAGAGCACCCAGGCTCCGAGTTCAAGCCCCACGACTGATAAACCAAACAACAAACCAAAAACCAAGGCAGTGGATGCCCCACTGGGCTGGGCAGGGGGAGCCGGCGGGGGGGGGCGGCAGGTTCCAATGTCTCATGCAGGCTTCTGCATCTGTGTCCCTGGGTCTTGGAAGCAGACAGTGGGCCCTGCGCCCACCCCACCATCCCTCCCTCACGGCTCCCAGGCCTGGCTGAGAGAGCTGAGGCTTGCTACCCCCAGGGAACCTTCTAGAAATGTTGGGGGCCACCAACACTGGCTTCGGCAGACGTGTCCTGGTCAATGATGATGACCGCACTCTAGTGGTGGCCCCTGCTACACCCAAGCAAAGGGGCCGCCATGCGGTGAGGTGCGGGCCTCACCCGGACAGTGCCAGGGAGCCCGGGGCTCCTCGGAACTCCTGCCAAGAGGCAGACACGGCCCGGTGCCAGTCTATGGAGGCCGAAGCTCGGCATCCGGCCCGCGGGACCCGGCAGAGAGGCCCTCAGCCCCCTTCGCCATGGGGCGGGCGTGCTCAGGACGGGCTGGCCTTGCGGCTCTCACCGCCTGCAGTGCACGTGCCAAGGGCCCGGGCGGCCGGCCTGGCCACACTGGCATGTTCAGGACCAGGGCACGCGGAGCTCTGCACGTCACCCAGCTCCCGTGAGGCAAGGCGAGCACGCCCTGCAGTCCCGCAATGCGGGGGGGTGGGGGGGACCGAGGCAGGAGGCCCCTGAGTCCTTCAGCCCAGGGGTTCAGAGGCAGCCTGGGCAAGACCCCGGCACAAATAAACCAGCATGAAGCTGAATGCACCCCTGCCCCACTCCTACCCCAGAGAGGAGGTGATGCGGCCCCCCAGGCGTGGTCTGGGGGGGCCCTGGGAGGACCGATATCTGGGTCTCTTTACGTGAGTCCAGGTCCCTTGTGGGAGACAGGATCTGAGGCTCACGACGCCCTCCAGCCCTGGCTCAGCCCAGCAAACCCAGCCAGGCTCTGCCTCTGTCTGTGCAAGTTCCTATGGGACGAGAGGCCTCCGGGGCAAAGAAACCAGCCCCGGCCCGTGGGCTGGCCCCTCGAGGCCCCAGCTTCCTCCCCAGCCGGAGGGCTGCGTCCTGGCCAGTCCTGAAGACCAAGCGAGCCGCACCCTGCCAGGGCGTCTGTACAGGAGGCCCCGGGAGAGGGGAGTGTGCCAGGCTCTCTCTCAACCTCCCACTGGGAGGATGGGACCACAGCGGCCCTGGCCACTTGGAAGGACAGGAGCCACAGGTGGCGAGGGCCGAGGGAGTGCGCGGGGGCCACAGCCTCTCGTGTCAGGGGGAGAGGCTCGGTCCCAGGTCCCAGGAGCAGTAAAGTCATGATTTTTGTCCAATCTGTGTGCTATTTTCTTAATACTTTCACTGGACTTTGAACTCAGAACCTTGGTCTTGTGAGGTAGGTGCTTTACCACTTGGACTATACCCCCAGAGTTTTTTTTTTTTTTGTCGGTCGTGGGGCCTGAACTCTGGGCCTGGGCGCTGTCCCTCAGCTCTTCAGCTCAAGGCTAGCACTCCACCACTTGAGCCACAGTGTCACTTCTGGCTTTTTCTGCTTATGTGGTGCTGAGGAATCGAACCCAGGGCCTCATGCATGCAAGGCAAGCGCTCTACCACTGAGCCACCTTCCCAGCCTTCCTCCTCCCCCCCAGAACTTTTTGCTTTGGTGATTGTTTTTGTTTGAAGGCAGCCTCCTGAGTCTTTGCCTCAGGCTGGCTTTATTTTGATCCTCCTACCTTTGCCTGCTGTGTATCTGGGATTACAGGTGTGTACCACCATGTCCAGCTTTATGTATGTGTACACGTGTGTGTGTGTGTGTGTGTGTGTGTGTGTGCCAATGCTAGGGTTTGAACTCAGGTCCTATGTGCTGTCTCTGCTCAAGGTTGACACCTTACCACTTGAACCCCAACTCTCTGGATTTTTGGTGGTGAATTGGAAATAAAAGTCTCAAGGAATTTTCTGCCCAGGCTGGCTCTGAACTGTGATGGTCAGATCTCAGCCTCCTATGCAGCTGTGATTATAGGTGTGAGCTGCCATACTTGGCCTGTGACCAGTTCAATGGTTTGTAGAAGACTCCTGTTTGGTCTGAACTGATTTTGACCATCAGTGTGACAACTACACAGCTAATTCTTTCAACAAATACCACTCTCAACGACAGCTGACTGTCAGCTAGCACATGGAGCCGGGGTGTACCCGGAGCCGGCATGCATGCAGAGCCGGTGCATACCCAGAGCTGGCACTCAAAACCAGCTTGCCCGCCCTGGGGCTCCTGCGGAACTCCAGCTCTGTGTCCACCCCAGGGGCCGCTGCTGGACCGGAGCCCAGGGCGGCCACGTCCTGGGACACGAGGGTGCCACAGCGCTGTGGCACCACCGCCCGTCACCTCTGGGAGGGCATCCCAGATCTCTCCCACCTTCGCCTTCTGGAACTTACCATGAAGATGATGGACACTAGGTTGGTGAAGTAGGCCGGGAAGCGGTCCTTCCAAGTCAGCTTCACCTTGTCTGTCTGCAACAGAGAACAATCTGGGTCTCTTTCAGGAGTCCCCTGAGCACCCTGGACAGGCGGGGAGTCCTGTGTGTGGGAGCACGTGGCTCTAGAGGCCCGCCCGCGTGCAGCTGAAACACAGGAAGCCTGAGGCCCATCTGGGCATGGCTGGCTTCCCCACAGGGCTTCCTGGGTGGTCTACAGCACCTGAAATAGCAGGCCAATGGCCACACAGACCATCATAGTTCTGTCCCTTTGCCGAGCAAGCGGGTCAAGCAGCTGGTGGCCCAAGGTAAAATGGTGAGTGCCACGTAGGCCCATTGGCTGTGGGGCAGAGCCTGGGAAGGTTTGATGGCAGTAGCCGGGGGCCGGGGGCTCACACCTGTCATCCCAGCTACTCAGGAGGCCCAGAGCAGAGGCTCACAGTTCAAAGCCAGCTGGGCAGGAAAGTCTATGAGACTCTTATCTCCACAGAGCCACCAAAACCCCAGAAGTAGCGCTGTGGTTCATGTGGTAAAGTTCTGTCCTTGAGCAAAAATGCTCAGGGACAGCTCCTAGGTCCCGAGTGCAAGTCCCAGGTCTGGCGTGCGCGCGCGTGTGTGTGTGCACGTGCACACGCGTCCACTCAGTCACACACACGATGGCCGAGCGCCAGCCTGATGGTGTGGCTGTGGGGAAGGGGGCCTCCTGCGCCGGGAGGGCACGGCTGGCGTCACACCCAGGAGCTCACATCACAAGCCAGGCTCATTAGGGGCCATAGCTGGGGACCAGAGCTGCTGAGGAGAACCACGTGGAACTGACCACGTAAGGGGTGTGGCCGTGGGAAACAGAGAGTCCCAGGCCACCCTCGTCCCGGAGGCCCACGGAAAGGAGCTGAGCACCTCTGCGTTTTCTGTGACTGAGGAGCCTGGGCAGAAGCTAAGCTGGGGCCGGCAGGCGGCTCCCGGCCTGGGGCGCAGACCCTCCCGCCGGCGTGGCTTGTGGCAGCCCTTTGCTGCCAAGAGTGGACATAGTGGGGACCACACCCCTTGGTGCTGAGTGAGAGGAGCCAAGTCCCTGTGAGCCACGGCCCCGTCCCCTGAGACATGGTGCCTCAGGCTGGGAGCTGGAGACAGGCCTGGGACAGGACAGGCCTGCGGGGGCCTTAGACACTGCCGGGCTGTGCAGCAACCGGGCCGGGCATGCCGCTAGGCTGTCGGCTCTTGCTTTGGGGTTCCTTTCCATACCGGAGCCTCGCTCAGCCCCCGGGGCGGGCAAGGCTCCTTCTGGCCCTAAGAGGAGGGGTTGGCCCCGGTTTTATGCTACAAGAGCAGGCTCTCAGGAGGGGCTGGCATCCTCCGGGGTGTGGCCACTGTGCGCTGTGACACAGTTCCACCCCCGCCCCACTTCAAAGGCTGGAGTGGGAAGGACAGCCTGCAGTCCCGAAGAGCGTCCTCCAAGGACCCCTGAGGCCTTGTCCAGCCTCAGCGAGAGGCGGCCAGGGCCGTGGCTCCAGGATAGTCCCGGCATTACCAAATGACAACCAGGCAGCTCGAGAGGCTGGTGGGGGGAGGAACATTAAACCCTGCCTACATGCCACGAGCAGACAGTGTCGGCTGACCCCTCTACATCGTAAGCAGTGTCGGCTGACCCCCATCTACATCGTGAGCAGTGTCAGCTGACCTCCATCTACATCGTGAGCAGTGTCAGCTGACCCCCATCTACATCGTGAGCAGTGTCGGCTGACCCCCATCTACATCGTGAGCAGTGTCAGCTGACCCCCATCTACATCGTGAGCAGTGTTGGCTGACCCCCATCTACATCGTGAGCAGTGTCGGCTGACCCCCATCTACAGTGTGAGCAGTGTCAGCTGACCCCCATCTACATCGTGAGCAGTGTTGGCTGACCCCCATCTACAGTGTGAGCAGTGTCGGCTGACCCCATCTACATCGTGAGCAGTGTTGGCTGACCCCATCTACATCGTGAGCAGTGTCAGCTGACCCCCATCTACATCGTGAGCAGTGTCAGCTGACCCCTCTACATCGTGAGCACTGTCAGCTGACCCCGTCTACATCGTGAGCAGTGTGAGCTGACCCCCATCTACATCGTGAGCAGTGTCAGCTGACCCCCATCTACATCGTGAGCAGTGTTGGCTGACCCCCATCTACAGTGTGAGCAGTTTGCTGACCCCTGGGTTCACCAAGGTGAACACACGGCGTTTGCTGCCCTTCCACCGCGCTGAGCCTTGGCGTTTGGCTGCTGGGAAAGGCGGCAGCACCATACCTCTTTGTGCGTGGCCTCTTTCCGGAGGGACTTCTGCAGCACCCTGGCTTCGTATTCAGCTCGGGGGTGATCCTGTGGAAGGAAGCGGGTCACACTCACGGTTGCCAGGCAGAGACCCTGGCGGTGTGAGGCTGAATCCGTCCCCCTGTGCGCGCCCGTGGGGGCGAGTTCGCGGCCACCTGTCACACTTGCACTTTGAATTCCCTGTCTGCCCCTCCCCTTGCCTGGCTCTGAGGACCCAGCCCATGCCCTAGCGTGGGACAGGGCTACGTCCAAGCTTATGAGGACCCCCAGCCACGAACTGGCCCCGAGGACACTGTGAGAAAGAGACACAGTAAGAGGCAGCAAGCGAGGGCACCCGTGGTGCCAGGCCCGGGACAGCCCGGAGCAGATGAGCGGGTGCTGGAGGGAAGAAGGGGCTAGGACAGGCCCAGGAGGAAGCAGAGACCCCGCCCAGGTGGAAGAGCCGACAGGTGTGCGAGCAAGGCCCTCTCCCGGGACAGCTACGGAAGGTAAGAGTGACCAAAAAACAACAACAAAAAATATTGCAAACCTTAACTGCCTCCTGCAGGAACCAGAAAATAAAAACAAAACAGAGAGAGTGGTTACTGAGGCTGCTCCGCCCGCCAGAGGGGGCCCCACCTGCGCCCAGGACCAGGGCGAAAGCGAAGAGTGCGGGGCAGGTGGGTTGGGAAGAGGGGGAGGGAGAATGGCGGGGAGGGGGGACGGTGGTGGTGAGAGCCACAACGGGAGTTCTCAGCCTCTGCTAAGGAACCCCACAGGCCGAGGATGACCCATCCTCCTTGAGCCCAAACCTGGGGTTCAGCCTAGGTGGGGAGACAGCACCATTCCATTTGAGGTCGCCCCACTTGGGGCAGCTCATTCAGCCTCCCCTGGTCGCCACCCCAAAGTCAAGGCTGGCCTTCAAGGTCAGGAGGTCGAGGAGTGGTCCCCACGGAGGGGACACAGGGACTGTCCCTGCCCCCCAGTTCCCCTCAGACAGGACATTCTACATCCACTTCTAAAACAGGAGGATGGCAGAGGCTCACTGTCCTATTTGGCATCCCCACCCCCCACCCCAGTACTGAGATTTGAACTCAGGCTCTGTGCTCGCTAGGCAAGCCCCCTACCGCACACACAACCCTTTCTATTTCAGTTATTTGGTTTTTGGGTAGCCTTGCTCCCCCCCCCCAGGGCCAGTCTCTGCCCATGATGCTACTACCGCCTCCCGCATGACCGTCACACCGGCCTACGGTTGGAGTGGGGTCCTGTAGCTTCCTGCCTTGAGCTAGCAACTCCTCATCCCACCTCCTGCAGAGGTGGGATTACAGGCATGAGCTACCCCTCTCCACCCAACGCCAGCGAGTCTAAGTAACGGCAACGAGGAAAGAACTCGCCCTGGGCCAGCTGTATCCGGCCCTGGAATGTGCCCAGAGCTCAGCTCTGCCCCTGGCTCTGCCTTGAAGAGCCACGGACCGAAGCCAGTGGCCTCAGCCCGAAGTGGGAGAATGAGCTGAGACGAGTGTATAGACGGGTGTGGGTGGGCTGGTGGCAGCTAGTCAGGTCTCCACGTATGGGAGCTTCGTGTATGTGGGACTTAGTCTGAGGGGCTGGACTTGGTCGGGGGTGTCCCACTGACACTCTGTCTAGCAAGGACTGCTCTCGGTGCTGCTCGACAGGCACAGAAGGTGGGTGACCTGGCCCAGGTCACCCAGCCAGCTGGCATCGTCAGGATGGAGCTGAGGCCGGCCTTGTAATCACTCTGAGGCTGCGGAGCCACCGTGGCTCCTTGGAGCCACGTGACTGAGGGTGTGATCGAAGCAGGCTCCAGCGGGCCACAGGAGAGAAGCCCAGGCGAGCGGAGCCGCAGGGGTGCAGCAGGGCCTCACTGCTCAAGTAAGCATCCCAGGCAGGCACGGAAGCCTGTCATCCCAGCTACCCAGGAGGCAGAGGGCTGAGGATCGCAGCTCAACGCCAGCCTGAGCAGGAAAGTCCAGGAGACTCTTATCTCCAATGAACCAGCAAAGAGCTGGAAGTGGAGCTGTGGTTCAAATGGTGGGGCATCAGCCTAGAGTGAAAAAGCTGAGCATAGAGTTTGAGGCCCTGTTTGAGCCCCTGTACTAGTTCAAAAAGAAACAATAAGTAAGCATCTTGGGCTAGAGGCGAGGCGTAAGCAGTAGAGCACCGGCCCAGCACATGCAAGGCCCTGAGTTCGAGTCCTACTGCCAACCCCCCCGCCCCCAGGAAAACAAGAGTGCATTTCACGAGAGGGCTTACTGGCCGGCACCCTGGGCAGGGGCTCTGCCCTCCGCTGCTCTGTGGGGCCCCATTCCTCCTCACAGCCCTGCACCCTAGGAATACCGCTGGAGATGGCCGTTGGGGGACCCTGCCCCCGCTGACGCCCCTCCTCTGTGAAGGCCACCCCATGCCTCGGCCACACCCGCCGGGGAGCGGCCTCTGAGCTCTGAGGGAGATTTCCCAGCTGCCTTTGGGGCCCCGGGCCGGGGAGCCCTGGCATGTGGCATCCTGACCGTGGCTAGGCCGCTGGCTGGGGCGTCCACGTGAGCACAGAGGCCAAAACCACAGTGGCAACCGAGGGCTCGGGAATACCAGGGCGATGAGTGGGGAGCGGACGGACGGGGAGCGCCTCACCCCGCAGGACAGACCGCAGGCCTCCACGGGAGCCCGGGGTGGGGGAGCAGGTGGGGGCACTGGCGGGGAGGGCCGGGCGGGGGAACCAGCCCAAGGTACCAACCTCCTCCTCCTCGAAGCCGGTGAGGTCCCAGTGGTAGTTGAGCCGCATCTGTTTCCGCTTCCAGTGCTCCATGAAGGTGGCAGCTGCGGGGGGGGGGGGTGCGGGGAGAGAAAGCCATTACTGGGGGCCTCGTCCATTCTTCCCCTTGGCACCCCTGGCCGAACCAGGGCAACAACTCCGGGGAGCCAAGGGACCATGGCTCTGCCATGTGCAGAGGAGGGACCCAGGGACCCGTCCCTGGCCAGGCCGGCCAGCTGGCAGCGCCCGCCCACACTGTTCACTCCTCTGCTTTGCAGACTGAAGGCCCAGGCCGGCGCAGGGGTGAGGAAGGAGGGGGCTGGGGCCAGGGCTGCCCCGGCTGCTGCCCCCTCCTCTGGGAGTCTCCCAGAGTCGGCTCCGAGGACCCAAGTCAGCCCAGAGCAGCAAGGCTCTCCTCATGGGACCCGCCAGGGCTTGTTTTGGGGGCTTGGGTGTCCCCCAAGGCCTCACGTGATGGCGTGTAATCCCCAGTGTGAGGGTCATCCGGGAAGCTTTATAGGAACAGGGAGAGAGACCATGGCCCGCACCGCGGGAGGTCTGCCAGCAGGAAGCCATGCGGCCCTTGACCTTCGTCCTCCAGAATGCTGCACCATGATCCTCTTCATAAAGGACCCCCCAAGCCTTAAGCGGCTCATTGCTACAGGAAAAGCATATGAAGACAGCCCCTCCCCAAGCCTCATCCTGGCTCCCTGTGCTGTTCATAAGGACAGCAGACTGGCCAGGAGTCCCTCCTGGGCATGCGGGGCAGGCGCGGGCGCCACTCCTTGGCCTGTGGCACATGGGGTGCCTGACACACACAGGCGCTCTGGATGTTCACGATGAATGACTCGGAGCCAGGCTGCATCTCAGGAGCCTCCCCTCCCCTCCCCTCCCCTCCCCTCCCCTGACAACCAGCCTGGCTGAGGAGGAATGGCAGGACAGGAAGCCAGGAAGCCACAGGAGCTGGGGACTAGAGCTACGGCCCACCAGGTGTTGTTCAAAGCGCTCTTGTAGCACACAGAGCACAAGCCCTGAGTGCCACGCCTCCTCGTTCTACAGGGGAGACGGAGGCTCAGAGGAGCACTTGATGTCTCCAAGATAGAAATAAAATACCCCAGTTCAGTAGACTACACGCAAAGAGGCAAGAATGATGGGCAGGCGGGGAGGAAGGACAGGAGGAGGAGGAGGAGCAGGAGGAGGGGGAGCACCAGGCCCTTGCTCCCGCCTCCCATCTCCTGTGCTGACTCCCACCAAGTCCACTAGGCTGTAGGAGTGCAAGGCATCCTGGGAAATCCAGCTCCCTTGGCTGGGGGCGGGGGGGGGGGTCACGGAGAACACTAACAAAAGCTGCCCTGCTCTTGGGTTGAGAAAGAACCTAAAAGCCCAGGTGACAAAAGAAAAAAAAATAGACGATGGGATTGAATCAAACCAACACGAAGCTTCTGCCTGCAAAGGAGCCGGTCAGCACAGCGGAGGGGAAGTTTTGCACACTAACCATCTTCCGAGGAAACACTCAGAAATTCAAACAGCTCCATGGGAGGTGGTGTGTGTGTGAGTGTGTGTGTGTGTACTGATTAACAGCGAGCAAATGTGAGCTGGGGTGTGGCTCAAGTGGTAGAGCGCTAGCCTTGAGCTGAAGAGCTGAGGGACAGCGCCCAGACCCAGAGTTCAGGCCCCACAACTGACAAAAGAAAAAAAAATAGACGATGGGATTGAATCAAACCAACACGAAGCTTCTGCCTGCAAAGGAGCCGGTCAGCACAGCGGAGGGGAAGTTTTGCACACTAACCATCTTCCGAGGAAACACTCAGAAATTCAAACAGCTCCATGGGAGGTGGTGTGTGTGTGAGTGTGTGTGTGTGTACTGATTAACAGCGAGCAAATGTGAGCTGGGGTGTGGCTCAAGTGGTGGAACACCAGTCTTCAGTGAAGCAGCTCCTGGATGGTGCCCAGGCCCTGAGTTCAAGCCCCAGAATCGTGCACACGTGTGCACACGCACAGGGGTGTGAATGAGCACACACACATGCACGCACACACACAGGAGCGTGAATGAGGACACTGAAGGTCAGGGCCAGGCGCCCTGTCCAGGTTAATTCCAGGGCCCACACTTAAGCACTGGACGGATTTTCCTTCAGTGAACAACTGGACTCTTGATTCTAAGTCCTATGATCAGAGCCCTAGCACATGTCAGCAAGCAGAAGGAACAGGAACAGAGAGGTTAGGTGATTCGCCTGAGGTATCAGAGCTTGGCAGCCGGGGCCAATCCCAGGCATCTGTGTGCTGGCCATTGCTCACTGTCCTATCCCGGATGTCCGGAGCCACAGCCAGGTGGCCACGGCGAGACGCACACACACACCAACTTGTATCTCGCTCAACGGTGCTGAAAAAATAGAGACATTTCCTATAAAATAGGAATTTTCTGTCTTTTCTTCTAAAAGAGCCACCAGTACAGGCACCAGGAGGCTGGAGTCGAGCCTTGGTCAAACTGGTCAGATTTTCTCCACTGGAACATGGAGGCCACCCTGCCCCACACCACCCTGCCCCGCCCCACGCCGCCGCCACGCCCCACCCCGCTGAGCACCCACCCTCCACGGCGGGGGGGGGGCACACCCTCCTGCAGCCCCACCCTGGAGACTGGCCACGCTTCCCCATGCAACAGGGGGCGGGTGACACGCACAGCCCAGGCACCTCCGGGGCTGGCACACGTCAGAGTCCCCTTCACTAGGGACCCAAGGGCCAGGGACGCAGGGGTCACCACGCCAAGATCAGACCGGTCAGGAGGGGATGGACCCACTAAGCTGCCCAAGAGGGCAAGGGATCCGGAGAGGCGGGGGAGGGCGGGGACGGGGTACACAGCACAGACCCCGGGGGCTGGGGAGCCCGCCAGGGCAGGCGGGGCTGCGCCGCCTGTGCCTGTGGTGGTGACGCGTCTGGCCAGCCTCAGTCTCCCCGCTTGTCTGATGGGCTATCGGTGGAGCCCGTGACACGGTCCACAGCGGCTCTGTGTGGGCGCCGCCTGTCCTCAACCTCCCATGGGGGCCTCTGTCTTCAGTGTCCACCAGCCGCAGGCTGGGCGGTGCCCACAGTGGCTGGGGAAGCTTCGCTTAGGAGACCAAGCTGGGGAAGGCGGGGTGAGGGCTCCGAGCGCCCAGTGTATGTGTGGGGGGAGGTAGGGGGGGTGGGGGGGCCCCTCGGGGTCTGGTGACGTTGGACAGGCCGGTGAAGGAGCGACAGCCACCAGCACACAGAGCTGTCTCTCTCTGGCTCTGACGTAGGGGACAATAAGCAGGACTGTCTGGGGCTGGCGCAGGGCCTTTACCTAAGCAGACTTTGGACCTCGCAGGTCCTGAACTGAGAAGGAAATGTGTGTCATCTAAGGCACCGGTGACGGCACCAGCAGCTGAAGACCGGTGATGCCGTCTATTGCATCTGCTCCGAGTGGCAGAGCCCCCACCCAGGGGACAGGGGACACGGCCACTCCCAGCAAGGACCGGGCTGGGGAACAGAGCGGCTCCCGCCACTCCCTCTGCGGACTGGGGATTCTCACCCCATCCTGGGGCCACGGAGCCTTCCAACGTCACCTGTCCCTACCTAAGCACCCCGCGGTCCAGTCCTGACCTGCTTCTGGCCTTTAAATCCCGCAGACAATCATACCCCGGCTCCCCTCCTCCCGCCCCGCCCCGCCCCACCCAAGGCAGCTGCCAATCAAAACTGCAGGCTCGGAGGGGCGGCCTTTCCATTTCAGGCTGACATTTCATCTTTGGCAACGGAGGGACTGAAATCAAATCACCTCCTTTGTTCTCTGTGGAACTGACAAGCAGTTCAAACCCATGATTAGGCTGTAATTTCAGAAAATTGATCTCAGCAAATAGCTAAATGGGGCTCCGGGGCGCTCGGTGTGACGTCTTTCACAGAGACTTCCACGTGTCAGCCGTGGCGGGCAGGGGCGGTCAAAGGCTGCGGCCCTGCAGATGATGGGGGGGGACTGCCATTCTGGGGGCTTCAGAGCCCCTATCCCGCAGGCAGGCATTGAGGATGGAGTGCAGGGGCGGGGGGGGCAGGAAATGGAGACGGGATGGAAGGAGAAACTCCAGGGAGAAGAGACCCCTCCCGGGCACGAGCCGGTAATTGAAGGCGAGATTGAAGAAAGGTGCGGAAGGCCTCTGCTAATTGCTCTTGACAGGCTAAGAGCCGGGGGAGGGGGAGGGTGTGTGTGTGTGTGTGTGCGTGCGTGTGCATGCGTTGCGTGTGCGTGCGTGTGCGTGTGTGCATGCATGTGTGTGCGTGCGTGTGTGTGCATGCGTGTGTGTGCATGCATGTGTGTGCATGTGCGTGCGTGTGTGTGTGCATGTGTGTGTGTGTGTGTGTGTGTGTGCATGCACGTATGCAGAGGTGCCCACAGCTCAGGCACAGCCTCCCGCCCTGGCTCAGCTAAGCTCCTCGGAGGCTTGCTGGGAAGCGTCGAGCATCTTCCTTTCCCTCTGGAAAACGGGAGATGCGCGGTGTGAAACTGCGGTGTGAGGGTCTGCCTGGCCGGGCTCTCCCGTGGTGGGAAGGCAGCCAGGCGGGAGCTCAGCAGAGACTGGGGCTCATGGGCATACTGGCCCTTACTTACTGGTCCCCAGAGTTGGGACCACAGGTCCTCATAGCTGGGTTGAGGGTCCAAGGCTATACCCCGGAAAGCGTTTGGATGGGAATGGGGAAGCAGTGCACTCACTTGGTCCTTAGACCCACGCTAGGCTGTGAGTCTGTGATCCATCTGTTAGCTGTGGGACCCTGGCCAAGTCACTTAACGTCTCTGTGCTTCAGTGCCCCATTAGAGAAAACACCTCTCACTACCTGCAACCAGCAGAGCTTGCTTGTTCAGGATACAGGTTCTGGTCCCAGAAGGGAAGGCAGCTCGGTTCGGTTCTCTTCCCTTCCGTCAACACTGTGCACACAGACAGGCACAGGTGCTCACACCTGTAATCTGAGCTACTTGGGAGGCTGAGATCTGAAGATCGCAGTTCAAAGCCAGCCCGGCAGGAAAGCCTACGAGACTCTGATCTCCAGTTAACCACCAAAAAGCAAGAAGCAGAGCCGTGGCTCAAGTGGGAGAGCACTAGCCTTGAGCAGAACAGCTCAGGGACTGTGCCCAGGCCCTGAGTTCAAGCCCCAGGACCCAGCTGGGGTATGGCCCAGTGGCAGAACATTTGCCTAGCATGCAGGAAGCCCTGGGTTCAGGAAAACGAATAAAGGGCCTGCCCTGGTCAGCGGGGGGCACGGCACGTCCCGTCCTGTAGCCAAACCTGCCGCTAACTCTGAGTTGAGCCACCAGCCCGGGGCTCTGGCGCATCTTCACCCACCCTTCCCCTCCGCCTGGACCACCAGGGACGCAGCCCAGCCCCGCGTGGCTGGCGCGGCCATGGCGGCTCTGTCCTCAAAGCCCCGTGGGTCCGGAGACCAGCTCCGTGGGTGCTCAGCCCACTTCTGTCTGCATCCACCCATGAGCAGGGTGGTGCAGAGCGCAGATGGGTCCTGTGCTGGGATCGGCCCACGGCAGAGGCCAGGAGAGCCTCCCCGGACCCCGCACCCGCTCCCCGGACCCCGCACCCACTCCCCGGCCCCCGCACCCGCTCCCCAGCCTGCTCCCGCTGTGGCCGCTCTGCCATGAATGCCACAGCCAACTCAAAGTGCCACACCTCTTTCAGGAAGCCCCCCAGGCTCCCAGGGGCCTGACCATCTCCATCTGGAGGCCAGGATGGGCTCGGTGAGCGGGGACAGGGGTCCCCAACCCCAGGGACCCCGACAGGAAAGCCTGTCCTGTTTACTGACCAAAGTCATCCCAACAAAGCCAGAATCAGGGACTTGTGGGCCGGGGAGGGGAGCTCCCTGGGGGGAGCCGGGGCTTGGTGGCCCGGCCTGGCAGTGTGGCTGGAATCGTGGCTTTCATTCACACCATGGCAGCTGCTCAGAGCTGGGGGACTCCAGGGAACGCATGTCTCCTCTCTGATGCTCAGAGCCCTCACCCTAAGGACAGGGGGGCCTGCAGAGGCGCCCTGCGGATCTTAGAGAGACAGCGCCCCCAGCCTGGCCCGGGGCGGCCCGCCTGCCCCGCCCTGGATGGAAGGGAAGAGGCTGCGGGAGGCCTGGCCCGGGGCTCCTGGAGCGGAGCGCCCTCCTGGCTTTCCCCCAGGCTCCCCGCCAGCTGGGAACATCCCTGTGCCCCTCGGCCCTCCTTATGGATGGCCGGACAGCACGGGGCCCACGCGGCAGGCCCCGCTTACCCCAGAGGGCCATGAAGACGGAGAAGAAGACGGTGGCGGGGTTGTCGAAGAGGTGGCTGGCGCGGGCGGTGGCGCAGGCCGAGCTCATCTTCCAGTAGCTGCAGGTCCTGTCACACAGCGGGCACATGGTGATGTTCTGTCTCTGGTCGCACATCTCCATGCTGCAACGCAAGGGCACACTCGAGTCCCGGGGCGCTGGCACACAGCCCAGCCTGGGCCGTGGCTGGGGCGGGGAGGGCGGGGAGGGGGACCCAGTGGACCCCAGGAGGCACACCAGCCTGCTCCGGCCACACCCGGCCCTCTGTCCCCTGGGAGCAGCTCGTGGGCATGTGACAAACACTGTCTGTCATCTGACCCTGAGTGGGGCAGGGCCCTGGGCTCTGTTTAAGGCCCAGCTGTCACTGCACTGCCAGAATTCCCAGTGAGTGTGTGTGTGTGCGCGCATGTGTGTGTGCATGCGTGCGTGCATGTGTATGTCTGTGTGCGTGTGCGTGCATGCGTGTGTGCATGTGTGTGTGTGTGTGTGTGGCCTGGGCGCTGTCCCTCAGCTCTTCAGCTCAAGGCTAGCGCTCTACCACTTGAGCCACAGCGCCACTTCTGGTTTGCTGGTGGTTTACTGGAGATAAGAGTCTCACAGGTACTTTCCTTCCCAGGCTGCCTTTGAACTGAGATCTTTAGATCGCAGCCTCCTGAGTAGCTGGGATTACTCAAGGCTAGCGCTCTCCCATTTGAGCCACAGCACCACTTCCAGCTTTTTCTGAGTAGTTTACTGGAGACAAGAGCCTCACAGACTTTCCTGCCCCAGCTGGCTTGGAACCGAGATAATGAGAGCTCCTTGCTGGGCGCGTCTGTAATCCCAGACACACGGAGGTCGATGTAGGATCATGGTCCAAAGCTAACCTGGGCAAAAATATAAGGCCCTGCCTGAAAAATAACTAAAGCCAAAAAAGGAGGCTTAACCTTGCGGCGCCTGCCATGAGCTCAAACTCCATTACTGTCTCCCGAACACCAGAGAAAACCCACCAGCTCAGGCTCTTCTGCACAGGCCAGGCCCAGAGCCCAGAGCTACAGGAGACGCATCTCCACAGGGTGCCAGGACCCTGTGGGAGAGGCGCGGGGGGGGGGGCAGGCTCGGCCCTCGAACTCTCTCCTGCTCTTGCTGACAAATCCCATGCTTACAGCCTTCCTCGGGCGTGCGTGCTGGAGTGCACTGCTGAACCTATGCTGGGCTTGGACCAGCACCAAGGACAACTGGGTTCCAATCCCCCCTTCATAGATGGGGAGGGGAGCCCAGAGAGGGAAACGACTGGCCTCAAGCCATGCAGCGCACTGGGAACGGACCCTGGCCTCTCTGTAATACACCTGCACGCAATGGCTCTCCTGGGGGTCTCTCCTGAGACCCCGCGGGCCTAGGCTGCGTTCGTGCTCTATTGTCCTACCCTGTGACCCTGGCCAGGTCCTCGAACTTCAGATTCAGTTCTTCTTTCTGGAAAAGGCCCTTCCGGCCACAGCTGGCCCTGAACTCTCTCCTTCCTGTGACCTTAGACCAGATCTTGACCTATAAATAAACTCCAGGCTGCCGTGCTGGTCCCAGAGGCTCGGTGGCTGGGGTGGGGGGTGGGGGTGAAGTTTTGTTTTCTTTAGATTTGCGGATACACATAAACCAACGCACGGCCTCCCCCACTGGCCCGCGCAGCTGGTGTGTCACGGGCAGCGGCCATGGGCTCTGAGGGGCCTCTCCTGCCTGGCTCTTCTTTGGAGTGTGTGTGTGCCAATCGCCTCGGCACTGCGGACCACTGATAAGGATGAGGGTGGGGTGGGTGTAAGGCTGCGGCCCCAACCCTGCAGTGGGAGTGCATGGGTATGCATGCTGGCGTGTGCATGTGCGTGTGCACGTGTGTGCGTGTAGGAGGAGGGAAGGGAGGACACACGGGTGTAGGGGTGGAAGAGCTGTCTGCGGGAATGGCGCCTTCAAGTGAGGCTGGGCTGCCACTGGGGGCTTGTGGGGGTCCCAAGACCCTGACGCCTCCCCCTAGTTCTGACATAACCCAGGAACAGCTCTTGGGGGGGGGTCCCTGCCTCAGCCACCACATGCTCCCTGGGTCCCCAAACACCGCCATTCCCACGAGGGCCCCACAGGCCTGGGACATGACCGGGACAGGAGCAGAGCCCGGGGAAGGGGAGCGGGGGGAGCCCCCCCCTTGGCCTGTCCCTGCCCGGGGGGAAGGGGAGTGAGGGGAGCCCCCCCCTTGGCCTGTCCCTGCCCGGGGGGAAGGGGAGCGAGGGGAGACCCCCCACCTTGCCCGGAATGTTTTCATTGCTTCCACCAGACAAGAAGGCCAGGGCACATGTTGTCACAGCACGATCAAAGTGGAAAGAACAGCAGACAATAAAAGCCTTCCATGCACAGAATGGCCCCGTGTTTACTTTATAATCCTTCCCTCAACAATAAAACCCCAACCCATCACAGCACCGTTCTGCCCCGGACGGCTACCCGCCCTGCGCAGACAGACTTCTCTTTGTGTCTGGTGGTCCTGGAGGCTGTGCCCCGCCACGGTGCCCGCCACGCCCCCAGCCCCTTCTGCTTTAGTTTTCAGACCGATTCTCCCCTTTTGCCAGGACTGGCATCTGCCCACGATCCTGCTACTCAGGGCTCCCGGGCGCCCGGATTGAGGCAGGCAAGATCATAACGAGCGTTTTTGTGGAGATGGGGCCTTGATGACTCTTCGTCCCCTGGGCTAGCCTCCAACCACCACCACCAGCCTTGGGGCGTGGGGGAGACGTGACCCACCACGCTTGACCTGCATGCAGATGGCTGCCCTTTGGAGTGCCAGCCCTTCACCCAGCAGCACATGGCTGGCGGGGGCAGTTCTAGGGCCCGGGCATGCGGAAAGGAGGTGGCGGGAGGGCCTGGGTTCTAGTGGCTTCTGCCAGGAGCGAGCGGAGGAGGGGCGCGCCTACCTGGGGATGTTCTCCTCCATGGTGGCGCACCCGTACAGGAAGACAATGATGCCTACAAGGGAGGCGGGGATCAGCATCTGCGTGTAGGCCCCCAGCCAGGCAAAGTACAGGCCGATCTTCTCCCCGAAGTACTTCCTGTGTGGAGACCGAGGCAAGCTTACTCCCACCCCGGACCTGGGGCCGGGGGGAGGGAACAGATGCTGCCGGCCTGCCGGCCCCTCCCCCGTGAGGGTCCACGCGAATGGCCGCCGAGGCGAAGGGCCGCCGCGTCTCTCCCACGTGACAGAGTGGGCTCTGGGACCCCTGGTGGTCTCTCATCCTCCCTTTCTCTTTTTCTCCTCCCTCTGGAGGTAGCTTGCTATAAACAAGCATTCTACCACTTGAACCATATCCTGTCCTTTTTGCTTTAGTTTTTGTTTGAGGTGGGGAAGATCTCCTGCTTTTCCCCAGGGCTGGCCTGGACCCGTGGTGCCATAGCAAGGAAGATTACAGATGTATGCCGTCACACCCAGCCTGTTGGTTGAGATGGTGTCTCGCTATTTTCTGGCCCCCTACTGACCTTGGACCATGGTCACTTTGATCCCCATTTCCTGATTAGCTGGGATTTCAGGCAGGAATAACCTATACCTGCTCATTTCTCTCTTTTTAAGATAATGATAATAATACCTTTTTTTTTTTTTTGCCAGTCATAGTGCTTGAACTCAGGGCCTGGGTGCTCTCCATGAGCTCTTTTAAGCTCAAGGCTAGTACTCTATCGCATTGAGCCACAGCTCCACTTCAGTTATTCTGGTGGTTAATTGAAGATGAGACTCACAGACTTTCCTTCCTGGGTTGGCTTTAAACCACAATCCTCAGATCTCAGCCTCCTGAGTAGCTAGGATGACAGGTGTGAGCCACCGGCGCCAGGCTATAAAATTCTTTTTGAGATACAGTCTTTCTATGTCACCCTGGCTAGCCTGAAACTTTTACAATTCCTGCTTTGGCCTCCTAGGTGCTGGGATTACAGGCTTGCATCGCCTTACCTAGCTTGCTTCTCTTCCCCTGAGGACCCACAGGGTCCTTCCCCGGCCCCCACTTCCATGTGAACATGGCTGGGGGTAGACCGGGGCCCGGGGCCCATGGCTCCTCCTCCCAAGCACTGTGACCTGAGTGTCCTCCAACAGGCCCCAGCCCACAGCCCCACAGGACGCACAGACCAAGCTGCTGCCTCAGAAGTTCCTACACATTGAGCCCCCCTCCTCTTCCCCTGCACACCAGCAGGCGGCCCTGTAGCCGCTGGCCAGGCCAGGCTGCGTGGCCCTGGGGACAGGGGAGGGGTCAGGATGCTCTGTGCGGCAGACCCGGGCGATCTGCTCTGCTCCCCTCCCCTGCCCAGGAGGAAGGCCGGGACTCCCCCACGCGCCACGTCCACACAGCGTCTCAAGTGGCTGAGTGTTCACAGCGACTTTGCAGGACCAATCCACTTCCGCCCAGGGCCCTGCTCCCACAGGCCGGTGTGGGCCTGCTTACCTGACCAGGTCGATGGGCTGGTACTTGTAGAAGACTCGGTAGCTCGCCCATTCCTCATACAGGAGCTGGGGAGAGAAAGAGCGAGGAGTGTGGCGTGCCGGGGCTGTTCCCACTCTCCCTCACTGAGCTCCGGGAGCCTCAGCCGACCTTCAAACCATTCATTCATTCGACAAACACTGACAGAGTCAGCCATGTGCTAGCCAGAGCCCACATTTCGCAGTAGGGATGCGAATGAGAGATGAGCTTCTGGCAGCTCTTTGTGGCTTGTGAGGATTTAGGTATTTTGGCCATGCTAGTCAGATGCAACTTTTTTCCTTCAGTGCTGGGGCTGGATCCCAGGCCCTTGTCTGGGCTGGTGCTCTACCAATAGGCTATCCCACCAGCCAAGCCATTTCTTTTTTGTCAGTCATGGGGCTTGAACTCTGGGCCTGATCACTGTCCCTCAGCCCTTCAGCTCAAGGTGAGTGCTCTATCACTTGAGCCACTGCACCACGTCTGGTTTTGTGAGTGGTGTATTGGAGATAAGAGTCTCTCAGACTTTCCTGCCCAGGCTGGCTTCCAAACCATTTCTTTATGAAAGGAATAAAGCCACCAGGGGCTTGGGTAGAGAAATATCAATGGCAAAAAAAAAACAAAAAACTTAAAAAGTTTCATGGAATGCAAAGATGGTTTGAGGTTTGTCTCTGGAGATGGGCTGTTTGATTCACCCCTTTCATGAATGGAACCACCCAGGGCAGGGGGTGATGGCTTGGGGGGATGGAAGCTGAAGTGCATGGGATGGGTGTTGTGGGGAGGGGCAGGCATGGTGGGATTGACCATTACCACAGCCCCACACCGGAGGTGCACCCACAAGCTGCACTCTCACGCACAGGCTCTCGGACTTCAGCAGTGACCCTCCTGATATCCATATCCCTGTCTGCTCTGGCCATTGGCCTCGTTAACCCTTTCTTAGAGCCTGAAACCTCTATTTTATTGTAACATCCATTCTGAGAGTTAATAACCAATTAAGACTACAATAAAAGAACCTGTTTGCCAACTGGTTTGTGGCTATCAAGCAAAATCAGTCATGCCTGGCAAATGAATGCCCATGAAATCGACGTGATTTGTGAACTTGTTCTTTAATAGATTCTGACAGTGTGGAAAGACACAATGTGGTCTGTGTTTCTGTAGCTCCTTTAGGATGGAACCAACAGGCCAGCACCTTGCCCTTGGCAAGGTCCTGTGAGGCGGCCCAGGTCACGCCTCTGGTCAGTGGTATTTGGCTTGCTACCCGAGCTATCCAGGATGCTTCCCACACAGGCCAACGAGGTGCAGGGCTGACGGGCAAAGGCTCCCTCACGGGGATCTTATTTTTGCACATGCCAATATTGGGGCTTGAACTTGGGACCTTGCATTCACCCTTGAGCTTTTTTTTTTTTGCTCAAGGTTGGTACTCTACCACTTGAGCCACTTCCAGTGGGTTTTTTTTGTGGAGACAAGACTCTCACAGTCTTTTCTGCCTGGGCTGGCTTCAAACTGCAGTCCTCAGATCTCAGCCTCCTGGGTAGCCGGGATTATAGATGTGCACCACTGGCATCTGGCGTGAGGGGGGTCTCTTAAGATCTGAGGTGGGTTGGAGGCCCTTCCTCGAAACCAGGGCGCCAGCCCAGAAGGCTCCTGGCGTTCCAGGGCCCCTTCTGTTGCTCAGGAGAGCAGAGGCACTATGTTCGCACGTTACCACATGCCTCTTTGGAACAGGGAACTCCCAAGAGCAGGCTGTCTTTGTGAGCTTCAAGAGCTGAGCTGTGGAAACTGAGGTTTGGCCATGGTCAGCCCCGAGAATCATCCTTTCTGTAGCTCTTACGTTGGGTAAGGGGCACACACAGCACACAGCCCCAGGACCCGGCTCTGGGAAGAACACTGGCCAGGCTGGCTGCAGCCTCGTGGTGGCTGGGGAAGGACTGGGCAGGGATCTCCCCGCCCCCCACACGGCGGAGAGGGGCCCTGCCCTTCCTCCAGCTGCCATCCCCCCACCTAACTGGCATCATTCTCCAGCTACCCCTGGGCCAAGCCCTGTGCTCCTTGCTGGGACATAAACCACACAAGGGGCAGGTCGTTCAGGTGTGGGGAGAAGCGTGTAGAGGGCCTGGGGAGGGACGCCGGGCCTGGCTGCCGTGTGGCCTGCCAGCATTTCTTGAACAAGTAACCAAGGCAGCAGCCCTTGCACACAGGAGGCCCTGGGCCAAGCAGACCTGGTTTTAGGAAGACAGTCGCCCCTTGAGGCTCAGGAGGCTGAGATCTAAAGATCTCAGTTCGAAGCCAGCCTGGGCAGGAAAGTCTGTGAGACCCTTACTTATCCCCGGTGAACCACCAAGAAGCCTGAAGTGGAGTTGTGGCTCAAGTAGCAGAGTGCTAGCCTGACAAAAATGCTCAGAGACAGTACCCAGGCTCTGAGTTCAAGCCCCAGGATTGGGACATAAAAGGAGGTGGGGACTGGCTGGTGTGACTGGGGCTCCGGAGAGCGGGGTTGGGGTGGAGGGACTGGGATCTGAGGACAAAATCTAGCCACAAGGGGGTGGCGGGTCACTGTGGAGGAAACCAGACCTCAGCCAAGAGGCAGGGGCCAGAGGTCTGGCCTCCAAGGCTGGAGGAGGCCTGGCAGCCCCTGGAGGGGACGGGCGCACCCGGCAGGGCTGGACCGCGAGTCCCATGGGTCTCAGGCGGATGCCAGATGTTACACTAAAAATACCCAAATATGTAATTTTTTTGTGCTAGACCAGATAGCATCTTCACTGGATTCCTGGCTGGGCAAGTTTTATCAAGTACCAAAGGCTGCAAAACAAGCACGGGGCTGGAGGGCGCGGACAGGGAGGGCATTCCACCCCCAGAGCTTCTCAGGCCGGGGATTCGGGGACAAGGCCGCCATTGTGAGTGCCCTCCAGGGCCAGGCAGGGGTGGGGCCAGGTGGGGGCGGGGCCAGGCAGGGGGTGGGGCCAGGCAGGGGCGGGGCCAGTGGGCCCACAGAAGGCGGTGGGCCTGGGTTCCGTGGTGGGCAGAAAGGCGGAGGTGGGGCGTGGGCATGTGGGGTGGATCCTGGCAAAGCAAGAGCACAGGGCAGAGGGAGGCGGTGGTCAGGTGGTACGGCTTCCCTGAGGGCCTGGTGGAAGGAGGGGACCACGCCTGGGAAGGAGAGGGGTTGTGGGGTGGAAGGAGGATAGCGGCAACTAGGGACCAAAGAATTATGGGGTGCTTCCCAAGAGTGTTGTGCAGAACACCAGCCCCATAACGTCTCTATCGAGAAGGGTTCCGTGGCAGGTACATTTGAGAAACACTGCATGGCTGGCACGCACACACACATACACACACACACACTCTCTCTCTCTCTCCCCCCTCCCCCCTTCTCTCTCTCTCTCTCTGCTGGTCACCATGGCACCCGAGATCATTCACCCAGGAACAGTGCAAGATTAGGCCAAGCACCTTCCAAGATGGCAGCAGTCAGGCCAGAGCGTCCTCTGCTCGGCACCAACTTACTTTTCTGTCGTTGAACTCCACGCTGTCTCCCTCATAGTCGCCCTGTGGAGGAAGAGGAAGAGGAGAGTCACACAGGGCCACTTGAGGTCACCACGTGCCCAGGAGAAAGTCCTTCGTGGCCATCCAGCCCTCACCACCCTCGATGCCCCACACCGGGACCGAGATGCCACAGCCTTGAACCGAAGTACACCTGCCTGGGTGAGCCCCACGCGCCCCACTTTACCAACGGACTGCTTGGGAGGCAGAGATCAGAGGATGGTGGTTTGAGGCTATCACAGGCAGAGTTGTTCATGAGACCCCCATCTCAACCAATGGCCGGGAGTGGTGACACACTCCTGCCATCCCAGCTATGGGAGAGCGTAGGGCCTGGGCTCGGGGCCCACCTCTCTCAGCCCCAGGGACACAGCAAACCACAGGAGGATCGCAGTCCAGGCTGGACTGGGTATCAGCAAGCCCCTGCTTCCAAGATAACCAAGGCAAAAAAGGGGCTGGAGGTGTGGCTCGCGGGGCAGAGCGCCTGCCCGGCTAGCACAGGGCCCCAAGGCTAATGAGCCAGCCTACCACACAAGCCAAAAAGATGCAAATGCGAAAGCTTAGAGACAGAGCCAGACATTTGTCAGGACTTACAGCTAAGTGTGATCAGCTCTAGAGCTTTAAATTCAGAGGGGAAGGGAAAGTTCTAGAAACTGAGAGTGAGTCCAACATGTCAACCACTGACGTGAATCACTAAGGGAGGGAGAGGGAGAGGCACGGCCCTGCTGTTTAAACCTGGCTGGCTCAGGGCCTCTTGGCGAATGCCTGGTGTCCCCTCGGGTCACCAGGCAGCCTCCCTGACTCCCAACCACCCCCCGTCACGCAGGGGGGACCTGCCAGGTGCCTTGCCCAGCACAACACAGCTGCCTTGCTTCCTCCCAGCTCCAGGGGACCCCCCCCCCCCGCTGACTCCCGACCTGACCCGGCTCTCCCGGGGTTACCCAGCACTTCCTTCCATCATTGATTCCGGAGCGACTCGCCTAGAGCAGAGGTCTGCCCGGCGTGCCCTTGGGCGGGCAGGTGCCAGGCAGGAAGGAAGCCAGGAAAGCCCAGAGTGGCCAACATAAATGTCAGCGCCCTTTCTGTCTACCCGTCGCCCTGTCATTACAGGCGACCTCCTCCACCGGGCACCACAACCTGAGGTTCTGACTCAGCCGCTGGCTGGTGATACCAATGGCACCCTGCCTTGGAGATCCTTAATGAATGAATGAATGGTGAGTGAACGAATGAAACAAGGAGTGGGGGGGGGCTATGACACAGGAGCTGTGGCACTGTTTAATCGGGAGGAAGTCAGCTGTAGAAAAACCTCAAAGCAAGAGCTGGACACCAGTGGCCACACTGTCATTCTAGCTCCTTAGAAGGCTGGACTCCGGGAGGACCACAGTTCAAGGCTAGCCTGGGCAGAAAAGTTCCCCAGATCCTTTTTCAACTGCAAGGGGAGCATGGTGGTACCCACCTGTCAGCATAGCTACGATCAACCTAAGAGGCTGAATGCGGTGCAGGCGCGTCCCTGGACAGGATGTGAGACCCTGACTCAAAAATCACCAGCACAAAGAGGGCTGGAGGCCTGGCTCAGCAGTGTAACACCTGCTTTTGCAAACATTAGTTCCTGAGTTCAAACTCTAGTACTGAAAATGAAAATGACAATCCCCCCCAGCATGCAGCAAAAAGCCGTCCAAAGCCAGCCCTGGCCCCCTTGGGTCACATTCTCTGCTGAAGGGCCTGGGGCACACACGGCTCACTCCATTCCCTGAAGATGCCGTAAGCCAGAGGCTCTGGGCTCTGCCCCTGGCCCAGTACCACCAGACAGACGGCCTGAGCTCTCCAAGCCTCGCCTGAGCCCCCCAAACCTTGCATTCCCCATCTTCTAACACCTGGCTGCGTATGGTGAGTGAGGGACACGAGAGACAGACACTCAACCGCGGGCCTGGTGGACAGGGGTCCGGAACCAGTCTAAGTAAGCTGTGGATAGACAGGGGCGGTAAAGACCAGAAAGAGGGTGCATTTGTTCTCTAGGGAAGGAAGAGGCAGTGGTACCATCAGAGACACAGAGCAGAATGCAGCTAGGAAGGGCTTTTGTCCCAGCCCGGTGTGTGATCTCAGCCAAGTTACTGAACCTCTCTGCTCCCTGTGTCTGTAGCCGATTAATGAGATAAAGCTCCTACTCTACACAGTGCTCTTCACACAGTGGCTCTGCAAGACTCTTCTCCCCTTTCTAGTGTAAGTCTCAAAAGGGTTGATTGGAAACAGAGAAGGCCCTGCCACATTTTGGCTCCTGTACCCCAACTTCTTGCTGGCCTTGCCCGCTGGACAGTGGAACAGGGCACCCGTGTGGCTGGAGTCTGCTGCTCCGAGGTCTTGGGTGGCTGCGCCCAGGACCAGAGCTCTGCGGGTAGAGCCCAGAGAGCAGAGAGAGCCCAGAGCCCTGGAGACTTTCGCGAAGGAACAGGTCCCTCCCCAGGCGACCCACCTCAGACCTAGCCAATACGTGCCACGTTTGCTGAGCACCTACCAAGGGCTGAGTGCCCGGCATTCATGAGCAGACATGCCCGACACAGAGTGCCAGGGAGCGGCACCTCTGTGGGACAAGGGCGCCCAAAGTCCAGCAAGAGGGGGGTGAGGAAGCGTGTGTGTGTGTGCGCACACACACGTGTGCTGGAGAGGAACAGGGCCAGTGCACCCTAAGTCCCTGACCTGTAGTGCAGAGGAGGCTGCGGCTGGGGAGCCCAGCGCCCCCCATCCTCTGGGCGCACCCCTGCTTTGCTCTGATCCTGGCTTCCTCACAGCCCTCTGCTCACTACGCCCCTGCCGTTAGATGAGCCCACACGTGGGGGGACAGGGAGATTTGTGCAGAACAAGGGGTTCACTGCGCAAAGCCAACAGGAGTGCGTGGCCGGGACTGGACTCTGGACCCCATTTCCAGGCCTGTCTTTTTTATTTTCCCTCCCATTTCTTCCTACTTCTGGGCTCCTAGTCTGTGCACGAGTGCACACTTGGAAAGTTCTAGATCCTCTGTCCAGAGTTCCCACAGGGCTCAGGTCCCACAGCCTGATCCCAGTGCTCTGTGGAGCTCCAGCCTGACTGTCTCCGCGGACAATAAGAAGACAATCCAGCCTCTCTCCCCACCCAAACGAGCCCGTGGCTCCTCTACTTGCCAGAGGTCTGGAGACAGGCAGGAAGTTGGCCACTTTCTCCGCAGAAATGATACACAAATAGCCCGTGGCTGCCAGGGCCCGGGTGGGGAGCCCCGGCCAGGGAAAGCATTGTGTGGACCAGCTGGCTACTAGGCACAGCATCGGCACAAACCATCTGTCTTGGTGGGGCTATTTTGCCAGCAGAGACAGCCTTGCGTGTGACTTCTCAGGCCCGGCATGGGCGGACAGGGGAGGCTTGTGTGCAGTTGACATTTACGGAGAAGCCAAGCAGGAAGCTGGTAACCGCAGGATAATGGGCGCTCCCGGGGGGCGTGGCTGGTGGGGATTTGGGGAATGGAATAATGCAGATTGCTTACATCGTGCAGCGGGTATGCAGCCGAGTACACCCCATTGGCCAGCAGGCTCGTGATACCTTCAAAAACAGCGAGAGATGATGGGTTAGATGCGGTTCCTCCTACACGGGACACACTGCCGTCAGGGGGCGGCCCCAATCACGGGGACTTTGCTCAAAGCCAAATGCACCTGGCTGCCCAGAGCCCGGCCACCTTTCAATCCGTTAGAGATGATACAACATGCTTGATTGGCAGGGCTAAGAAGACACAGAGGAGACCCGGGGGTGGGGGGAGGCTCTGGTGCGGAGGCCGGAGGCACGCCCCCAGACCTCCCGATTCACCAGAGACCCCCACCTGCTTGCCGGCAAGCCTGCAGATTGGAAAGGTGGATTTGAAGTGGTTAGAAAAGCTGAATCATGAGAAAATGGATGGATGGGAAAATTGATGGCGTCAGAGGACGCACATACAATTTGGAATTAGCTTGAAGCTGGTTGGAGAAGTGGAAGAGGCCCCAACTTACCATACTTCCCACACTTCCGCCTTTTAGTTAGAAGGGCAGAATCCTTCTTTCTTCCCTCTCCTTGCCCTGTTCATACATCGGCTATTAGTTAAATTGGAAGGGCCTCGAAGGATCAAAGCTACGTTGGGGTGGGGGGGGCAGTTCTGGTGGCAAGTGAGGCTCTCGTGGTGCTCCTGTGCTCCGGGGGTGGTGGAAGGTGCTGGGTCCTGGTTTGCTGGCTTGAGGCCGGCACTGGTGAATTATGCAAATGATTACCCAGGCACCCGCTGATGGATATGGATGCCATGCCCGGCCCCGAGACGGTACTGGGGGAACAGAGCCAGAGCCAGGGCTCAGCATGCTGAAAATGATCTTGGGAATCTCATTGGACTCGAACACGTGGGGGTTGGGCAGGCACCACAGGGGGAGGGGGGGGAGGACTCCTGTGAATTCCTGCTGCTCACATTCCCCCAATCTAGCCAAGGCCACGATGCCAGAGGGAAAAATACCCCCTGGGAATCTCTTAAAAGTGGCTCATCACCCCTATTGGTGGCCAAGAACAGAACACTCAGGAGTGAAGACCAGAGAAGGCAGGACCAGGCGGTTGAAGAGTCCAGCCGCAGGGCCTTGGCCGTGTCTGGCAGTCCTGGCCTTCTCTCGCTTCATCATCCTGCTCTAATGCCCCCTGGTCAGAGAGGCCTTTCCGGACAAGGCTCCTTAATGTCCTCTCGTCCCACAGGTAGAAGCCAGTTCTGGTTTCTCCATCCATTTCGTATTTATTTCTGTCCTTTAGAATAGAAGGGGAGGGAGTCCTGAACCCTGGGGCAGAGCGCAGAGGTGGGCAGGAAGCGTTTCTGACTGCAAGGATACTGCATGAACCTGGCGGAGGGCTGAGTTCTCAGGGAAGGAGCCACATGAGGCAGGGGTAGAAGAGAAGGCACCCTGACCTCTGTCTTCTGTCCCCCATAGTCAGGGAGCCCCAGGCGCGGTCCTCCGTCCCCAGGGGCAGGGAGCCAGCCTTGCCAGGACATTTGTGGACAGCCCCCATCCCAGGGATGAGGCAGAATGGGGTGTCGGCTCTGGCCCAGCAGACCTTACCTTGTCCCTGCAGACCTAAACACAAACCCCGACTCCACCCACCCGCCGTGTCTGCAGAGGACCTGACCAGGCTCCCTCTCTCCTCTGGAGGCCCCGCATGGCTGTTCTGGGTTTAAAGGCCAGCCCAGCTTTACCTCCTCCAGGAGCAGACCTGCTGTTCTGCACGTTCTCCTGTCTTGAGGGCCCAGCTCCTCTTGGTCCCTGGATTAGGGACCCTCGCTTGCACAGACACAGCACAGGAGCTCAGAGGTGCAGGCATGCCCTGGGCCCCGCTGGCCACGCACAGGTGGTCTGCCCCCAGGCCCCGCACTGACCCTGCTCCTCCTCCTCCTCCTCCTCCAGCTGTTTCATTTCCTGCAGAGTTCTCCCTCCAGAACCCATCTGCTGCACTCGTCCCAGGTCTGCCCTGTCCCCTGTGTTCACAGCCTGGTCCTTGCAGAGATGTCCACGTGACAGAGGCCTCACTCCAGGAAGAAGGCAGGCAAAGACAAGCTGTGGGCAGAGGGCCCTGCCTGGGAGTGGTCCCCTCCCCGGGCTTCTAGGGGATTCTGGAAAACCAAGTTGGGATAGCACCATCATAGCCTCTGAGCTGGGTGTCTGCCGGGCAGAGGCGGGCTCGGGTGGAGGCTGCCGGGTGCTGGGCTTGGTATTCGGTGCCACACGTGGCTTGGCTGGCTGGCACGCTCAATGGCTTGGCCAAACCATCAGCCGTATCCCCCGAGGGACCGCTCCCTCCGTCCTGCCCCGGCCGGTGGGGACACAGCCTCGCCTGTTTCCTGGCTGCAAACACCCTCGGCAGACCCTGCCCACGTGCGCGGATCAAGCAGGGTGATGGCTGCTTTTGGGCTCCAAGAGTCGGGCCGTAAATCTGCCAGTGGTCCTGGAGCACCTCGCTTCCGCTGCCCAGCCCTCCCTCTGAACCCGCTACACAGGCCTAAATCAAAACCTTCATAAAACCCCCAGCTGCTGCCCACCTCCCACCGAGCCGATTCGGAGGCCAGATTACCACTGCAACCGCGGCTGATCTCAACACCCAAAAATGTCCTTACCCATGCTGTACTTGGCTTTTGTACACGTTGTTCTCTTCAAGATCTCGTAGACCTGTGGTGGAGAGATGGAAGGGGGGTGGGCGGTGACCCAGGCTGCCCACAATGCAATGTGCCTGCTGGTCAGACACGGCCAGGGAGGCCGGTGGTCTCTTAGGACGGGTCCTGGGCTCAGGGCCAGCAGGGTCAGAAGTCTGTGCTCCCAGCTAAGTGAGGGGCCTAAAGACTGGCTGTGCCACACAGAGGGGACAGGTGCCCCTCTAAACCGAGCAGGGGGCTGGCCACGGGCTGTGGGGGTTTGCGTGGTGTAGCTCACCCAGGAGCCCCCATGGTCTGTGGGCCTGTGGGTCTGTCAGTCTTGGGGAACTTGGTACATTTCTATCTCCAGCCCCAGGCCTCAGTTTCCCCCATCTGCAAGATAGGATTGGAGCAAGCATTCCTGGCCTGGAGAGGCTCTCCTGCGGGACCTCCCATTGCTTCCATTCACTGTGGCAAGGCCAGCTTCCCTCTGGCAGCCCAGGCCTGCCCTACAGCCCTAGCCTTTTATGTCCACCTAGTTAGCTGCCAGGGACCCCAGCCCCTCCCCCTGCCGGGCCCTGCCACTCAGCACAGGATCTTTATGCCCTGGTTGTTCCTCAGACCTACACTCTCCGGGGAAACTCAACACACAAACCTGGGAGGCAGCTTCCCCCTCCCCTCCCCTCCCCTCCCCTCCCCTCCCTCCCAGCACACACAAGGAATAAACTGCTCACCCAGGTGCTCTCAGTGGATCCAAATCTGGCCCAAAAACGGTAACCATCTCCCTCCCCCCGCCCCACCTTCACCCACCACCGTGGAGCCCCACTGCATCCCCCAACAGCTGGCCTTCCTGACCACATCCAGAGCCTTGCTCCACAGCCTCTTGTGGCTCCCTACTACCTAGACTCACCTGCAAAGACCCCAGCCCAGCACGCTCACTGGGTGCCCATTCCTGCCTGCTTGGTACCCGGTGGGCTTCCCCAGGCCCACGATTGGGGTCATACCTCTACCTTTAGAATGGCCTGACCCTGGCCACTGCTGGGTTTCAAAGACCACCAGGCCTGGCGCACAAAGGGCAAAGACGTCACTGATGGGAGCCTGCGTGTGGGTGGCTTACAAACTGGCCACCCCAGGTCCCTGGGGCCAGTGCCCCTCACTTCCTGGGGGGTAAGCGGAGTCAGGCCGGGTTGCTCAGGTGACGCCCGCCCTAGGGAAGGCTCCTCTGTGTGACTTGGAGACAAGTCTGTGCCTTGGAGAACACAGCCTACCTGGATTTCACAGCAGATACCCCCTCATCCCCCCAAAATGTTCCCAGAGCATCTGAGCCTTGTGAGTTCACAAATGTGTGTCTACCCCATGCTTCTGGGGGTGTTCTCATGCCCCCCAAAATGTACAAAACTAGGAGTGCACAACATATTAAAACGCATGGACACGTATTAAAATGTGGTTCAGTGACGCGCTGGCCATTCCAGCCCTCCCCGCCCCCACCCCAGCCTGGAGCAGCCTCCCAGGAAGGACCCTGTGAGGCCGCTGGGTGGCTCCCAGGGGCTCCAGCCCCACCCGCTGGGGGCTGGTCTTTTAGATATTATTATCACCAGGTCTAACTGCTGAACTTAACCAATAACACAGCTAACGACCAGGCCGCACAGGGACTAGGCATCTACCTGGGCCATGTGACCACACAGAGGCTCACAGCCGCCCTGTGGACATCAAGTCAGACTTGTGCTCATTCCCACAGGTTCAGGGACCCCTGTGGTCACAAGGCTGGAGTGGGCAGAGGGCAGATGGACCCGCCCGTCCGGCAGTGCCCAGCAGTCCTGCGGCTGGCAGCCTTCCAGCAGAGAGAAGTTATCTGCACCAGGCCAATCATCGGCCTCCTCTCAGCCCTGGGTGGCTGCCCGGCCGGGCTGGCAGGAGGAGGGAATGAAAGCTGGGCACGGCTGCCAGGAGAATGTCATGTTTAGATAGAAATTGGGTCCTGCTCCATGCACAGTTCCCAGCTTGGCTGGTGGACAAGTTGGCGGCCAGTGGATAAACATCAGCCAGTACCTTGAATAGGGCAGAGTGGCCTGGTCAGACTGCAAAGCCGGCTGGCTCATTTGGCAAAGGCCTACAATGATATCCTAACCCTGGGCTGCCTGCCCCTGCCTGACTGCTCAGAAACGCCAGGCGAGAGATCTGCCGGCCTGGAGCCAGGAGCCCAGGGGCTCTTGAGATGTGTGGGACCTCGGAGGATGGGGCTCGTGGGGGCAGGGCTGCGGTGCTTCTGCCTGGAGGCTTCCTCTCCCCAATTTCCTATTACCTCGGGCCAAGCCCGTCCCCAGGGCCACACTCGGCCCTCCCATTTCATTATTCTAATTATCTCTGTCACAGGCAATTAGAGCCGGCCTCCACCCCCGAGGAATTTCACCGAAATGAAATGATCATGGGGTCTCCCGGGATCCCCGCTGAGGAGACAATCACGCCAGGCAGCAGGCACTCACTATGGTGCTCCGGGTTTTGCTGTCGAAAAAGGAGTCTTTGTCGGCCAAGTCAAAGCTGCGGAAACAGGAAGGAGATGAGGCCGCTCAGGAGGGGCAGAGACCTGGGGCTCCAGACCCTGCGAAATCGCCCTGTCCCCCTGGGGGTGACAACAAACTGCAGCGGGTGTGCCTCTGTCTCTGGGCCTATGAACCCCGCTGCACAGCATGCCCCGAGAGACGCCAGTCCCCACGGGGGAGGGGACCCAGAGGCAGGCCCGGTCAGCCCCTCCTGGAGACCTGCACCTGCTCTGAGGACACCCTCAGTGGCCAGATCTATTTTTTAAATTAAAAAAGGAAATTAAAAAAGGAAAGAAAAAGAAAAGAGATCTTTCAATGGTTGCACAAAGGGGTTTCAATTCAACGTATCCATTTCGGGGTGCACTGCCTCCTGATCAGCGGTATTCCTTGCCCAGGTCCCCCCAACTTCTCCACAGGCAGTGGGTAGACCCGCTTGGTGCCCTGGGGACCAGCTCGCACCATTCTAACAACCACCCTGGAGCAGCCATGTTGGTGTGGGGACGTGGGGAAGGGGGAGGGGGCCCTCACAAGTCCTGTCAGCGCCTCCCAAGGGAAGGGCGAGGTTTGGGACACCTCCCCCGACCCCCAAGTGCCTCGGGCCTGGGGATTTGCAGGGCAGAAGTCTAAGCTCTGGGCTCACCATCCCTACGGTACGCCCCGGCCCTTTGTGCCCACCTCTGCCCGGTGAGGCCCCATGACCCAGGTAGCTGCACCTTGGAAGCAGGGAGAATGGAAGGTTCCCAAATAGGCTGGGCACTGCCAGGCAACCAGCTGCTGCTGCAGGCCCCTGGGCGCTCCGGGCTCCTGTGGGGAGCCCCTGGCTGGGGAGCGCTCAGGGTGCTGTCTGGTGATTAGCCGGGTGAGGAGGCGCAGCTGGTTGGGGAGGCCCAGCTCTCCACCCTGGGGGCCTGGGCTCACGGAGTTCTTGGGTGCCACTGAGCTGGACAGGCCCCTGCGCGCCTCCATTTCCCCACAAGCAGGGCCTTAAATCCGTTTCCTCAGCCTCCTCAGAGCTCAACAACTACACAGCTACTACACAGCAACTACACAGCAACTACACAGCTCTTGCAAGAGCCGCAGTCCACCCCCTTCCTTTTGTTATTGTTTGGTTTGGTGTGGGTTTTGTGCTAGTGCTGGGGCTCGAACTCAGGGTCTCCCACTGTCCCTTAGCTTTTTTGCTCAAGGCTGGCACTCTACGGCTTGAGCCACAGCTCCACTTCTGAAATTTCGGTGGCTAATTGGAGATAAGAGTCTGGCTTTGAATGGCTACCCTCAGATCTCAGCCTTCCAAGTAGCTGGGATTACAGGTATGAGCCACAGCGCCCAGCTTCCCCTCCTTTGGAAGGGATGGAGAATGTGCCTGCGTTTCTGTAAGGGGCAGGGAGGGGCACTCACAGGTGCTGCTTCTCCCGGGAGAAGGGGTAGGACAGCCTCTTGGTGGTCTGCGGCCGGTGCTCAGGCACCCTGGGCTGGATAGGATCTGTGATCTTCTGCAGCACGGAGCTGAGGGTCTTCAGAAGGCCGCGGGTCTCGCTGATGTGATACATCTGTGGGTGGCATGGGGTGGGGGAGGGGTGTGCGGCACTCTGCTAGCCCAGCCTGCCCCTCCCCCCGTGCCCCCCTGCAGTTCAGGAGATCCTCCCCCAGAGCTCAATAACACATTCTAGAAAACATTCCCAAACTTTGCTTTTTGTTTCTAAAGGTTTCCAAGCGCTTCCAGTGACTTAGCTGCAGCCAGCCCCATTCCTCCACTTATAAGCAAGCTCAGCGGCCCCATCAAACTGCTTCTTGGCCATAAAGTTCTGACCAATTAAGAGGAAAAATCCCAGCAAGCCAGGACATGTAATTAAATTAAATCTGATAAATGAGCTGAGACCCCACAGGCATCAAAGAACCAGGGCTCGGCGCTGAGCTGGATTTGTATGGACAGGACATGCCTGGGCCAGCTAGAGACGCTCTCTGGCCTGGACTTTCTCCCGGTGGGATCTGGTCTGGGGGTCTCTAAAGACCACCCAGGGCTGGGTCATGTCCCCCTGGCCGGGACAGAGAGCGGGGGCCTGTGTCTGAGTTCCCTCAACGTGGAGGCTCTTGCTGCCGGCTTTGCCCATGGTGGTCCTGGGCCGCGCAGACTCGCATCACCACTGACCTTCCTCGTGGGCATCTTCAGCTTCAAAAACTCAGCCTCTCGGCAGAGCACGCCCCAGGGCGCGTGGATCTTCACAAAGCCAACTCCAGGGATTTTAGTCTAGAGAGAGGAAACCAATTCAGCGTCAGGGATGCTGTGTGCTGAAGGACATTTTACCCGTGGCTTCAGCTACAGCCTGGTGGGCGGCTGCTGTCCGCGCTGGCACCTTGCCTGCTGCAGGCCCCTGGGTGCTCGGGGCCCACCCTCTGCCAGCTGGGTTCCCTGTGTCTATATAATTGTGTGTGTGTGTGTGTGCCAGTCCTGGGGCTTGAACTCAAGACCTGTGCTGTCGCTGAGCTTTTTTGCTCAAGGCTAGTACTCTACCACATGAGCTACTTCCAGCATTTTGGCAGTTAATTGGAGATGAGAGTCTCACAGACTTTCTTGCCTGGGCTGGCTTTGAAATGTGATCCTCAGATCTCAGCCTCCAGAGCAGCTAGGATTGCAGGCTGGCACCTGGCTACCATTGTTATTCTTAACGTGGGCGGTGGCCTTGCGCAAGGGCTCAAGGGCAGGAAGCAGCCAAGAACCGTTCCCTCCCCACTGCTGTGAGCTTGGACAGAGCGCTTCTGTCCTGACAGGATCACACAGAGGGCCACTGAGGCAGCCCAAGAGAAGGCTCTGGAAGGAGGGATGGCAGCTCCAGCCCACAAGTTAGCTACTTCATGGGCAGAGATTGGGGGTTCAAGGCAGCCTGGTTAAAAAAGTTCACCAGTCTCCATTTCCACCAGTGGCCGAGTGTTGTGGCACACACCTGCCATCCCAGCAACAAAGGGACAGGCAGGAGGATCACGGTCCAGGTCAGCCTGGGCATAAAGCGGGACCCTATCTTGAAAATAACAGAAACAGGCTGGCGGAGTTGCTCAGTGGGAGAGCCCCTGTTCATCAAGTCTGAGGTCCTGAGTTCAAGCACCAGCAAGCCAAAAAGAAAAAACAAAGGCACTTCAGGAGGTTCCATGCCAAGACTTACCTGAGGAGGGGTCCTCCCCACACCAGGCCCGTTTCCTGCTTCTCTTGCCCTTCCATGGCCTACCCCGTTCTCTCAGGCTGGCCGCCCTCGCCCTGTCCTGTCCTGGTCCCATGGCGATGGCCACCGTGGCGCCTGACCACAGACATTCCCTCCTCTCCCCCCCCCACCCCCCGCCCCCCCGCCATGTATCTAACCAGCACTGTGTTGAGCCCTGTCTCGGAGCTCCGGAGCTCGCTGACAGCTGGGGAGGGTGACAGGTGCCGTCAGGCATGGGGGGGGCACTCTCTCTCTGGGGGCGGGGGCGGGGGGGTCGGTCTTTCCCTCTTATTCTGGCTCCCAGGGAAGTGCTCCTCTTCCATCGCGCCGGGCTCTGCCTCCTTCCCTGTCTCTGTGTGTGTTTCTTCCTACTGAAGGTTGGGCTCACCTAAATCCAGGATGACCCCACCCGAAGTGCTTAGCCCAGGGCCTCCTGCCAGCCCCCATGCGCCTGGCTTTAGAGGCCCCCCTCAGCCTACTACACCAGGGAAAGAGGCTTTGAAGGGGTGCCAAATGGGACTGGACTTTGCAGGCTCTGGGTGGGAGGGTGCAGGTTCAGGGGGTGCCTTGGGGGAGACTGAAGCCCAAGGCGGGGGGGCACCAGAACAGAGTGGGCAGCCCAGTGGCTCAGGAGACCGAGGCCCAGCAACTCCTGCTCATCAGAGGCAGGTGGAGAAGGCCCTGCTCCTGGGTGACCCCACAAGTGCCCCCCAACCCCACCCCGGCCTCCGTTCCTTCATCTATGGGGCAGGCACGCCAAGACCCGGTTCACAGGACACCGGACCCCTGCAGCCCAGGCCCCGGATGCCAGGAGGTCGGTGCAAGGGCCTGAGCCTAGGCTGCCTTTCTGTGACTACGGGCAGCCAAGACCACGCCCGCTTTGGCCAGCCAGCCCGGGAGGGTCCGCCGCCCTGTGACTCAGGCTGACGTGATGGGACACCCCTGAGTGGGCGGGGGGGGCCCATGTGTGGTGGAGCCCGGCTTTTCCTGTGACAGATCCAGGTTTATTTCTGTGTACTGCTCCACTCTCATGCAGAGACCCGAAATACTTTCTTCCGAGTCCACGGGGACCTCTGTCCACAAAGGCCCTGCCTCCCTGGGAAACAGGCCCCCCTCCTCCCCCCCCCATCCCCCTGTTTACGTGAGCCGCGGGGTCTCTCCCAGGGAAACAGCTGGTGAGGTTTGGGAAAAGGGTCATGGGACCGGCCCAGCCAAAGCACACCAGGCTGTTTAAAAGCATGGTACCCAGGCTGACCACAGCCGCCCACAGCAGGAAGACAGCGCTGTCCCTGGAGCCCGGCCAGAGGAGGTGGGGGAAGGGAGCTGGGGGGGTCCACGTGGGTGCCCGGCCCAGTGCGTTTAAATCTCCACTACTTCTTTCTCTCTCCCTCCCTCCCTCCCTCCCTCCCTTTCTTCCTTTCCTTCGCTCTTTCTGGCAGTACCCATGCCCGTGGGGCCCGCTGCCCCGCTCAGGCAGGATCCTGCGTTTTCACCCAGGCTGCTCTGGACCACAGCTGTCCTGCCTGTGTGTCCTGTCACCACGCCGGGCTGATGGATGTGTGAAGGTGGGGTCCTGCTCACTTTGTGCCCGGCTGATGTGTGAAGATGGGGTCCTGCTCACTCTGTGCCCTGCTTGGCTGTGAGCTGCGATTCTCAAGCGGCTGGTCTGACAGACATGTGCCGTGGTGCCAGGGCCCTAAAGCTCCATGCTGAGTCCTACATAGAAGGACTGGCCTCCTCAGAACTGTTTCTGGCACTTTCCGTCAGAAAGAGGAAACCCATAAACAGAAGTGACAAATTTCTTGGGTGGCCAAGATCAGCGATGATGGTTTTACCCCCCACTGCCCTGGAGAGGCCGGGCTCGCGGGCAGACCCCGGGTCCGCCTGGTCCTTGGGCGCGGCCAGCGGCCGCTGCCCTGCTCTGCGGGCGCCGGTCCGGCCTGGGTGAGCGAGCGGCTCCTATCTGCTGTGTTGTGTCTCAGGAGAGCTCACGGGCTCCGGCTCTCACTGTGAATGCTGGTCTGTCCACACCGCTTCCATCCAAGGCAGGACCCTCGGGGCAGCCCTGCACAGAGCAAGGCTGGTGAAGGATGCCGGACACGCAGAGCAGGAGTGGGCGGGGCGGGGAAGGGAAGGGAGCCGGGGCTGCACGCAGGCCACGTGGACAAAACTCAGACCAGGGTCTTCCCCACTGTCATCAGAATGGCCTGGCAGCTTGGGCTCGTGGGAGGGCTGGGGGAGGGATGCGAGAGGTTCCCCCGCTGGAGGAGGGAGGAGAGGGAGGAGGAGGAGGAGGGGGAAGAAGGGGAGGGAGAGGAGGAAGAGGAGGAGGAGGAGGAGGAAGAGGAGGGAGAGGAGGAGGAGGGAGAGGAGGGAGAGGGGGA